GAAATGTGGTGTTGGAGAAGAATGGAGAAGATCAGTTGGACCGATTATGTGAGAAATGAAGAAGTGTTAATTAGAGTCAGTGAGCAGAGGAATATCCTACATGAAATAAGAAAACAGAAGGCTAATTGGATTGGTCATGTTTTACGCAGAAACTGCCTTCTAAAAGAAGTTATCGAAGCAAAGACAGATGGGTGGATAGAAGTGACAAGAAGATGAGGAAGAAGACGTAAGAAGGTGCTGGATGACCTTGGGGACAAAAGAGGATACTGCCATTTGAAGGAGAAAGCTCTAGATCGCATTAAGTGGAGGAATTGTTTTGGAAGAGATTGTGGACCTGTCGTCTTGACAGATTACTGATGATGATGATGATGCAACATAAGAATAGTGCATTGTAACCACTGAATAAATTAATTTGTTTGAAAAGGAAAAGCTTTACACATGTCTCCTTTTTATCAATTCAAAGAACTATTTGGACAGCAGACAGTGTGACATCATTTTTTTCTAGGTGTTAAAAAAGACTTGAACTCTCAATGAGTCATGTCAGTTCTAAAATATGCCTACTGAATAATATAATACTGAAACTGAAGATTCTTTCATTCTACCATACAAATCATTGTGAAAAACATAATGAAAAAGTCAAATCCACTAAATCTCTTTTTGGTTACAATATTATATTTAAGCATTCTGTTACACTCACACAATATATATGAGACAAACTCCGTCTTAAGTGAAACAATTTAATTGTAGTTCTTTCTTCTTCCCTTCCTCCACACTACATGTTTCGGCCTTAAATGGCCATCATCAGGTGTGTATTCTTACGTAGCTGCTACACTGCTCGTAGTTTTAAAATTTAAAAATCACCAGTCTTTCCAATTGTATGTATGTATAAAATCTTTGTTAACCTACACGCGTCAATTTGATTTCTAAAATTGGCACTTTTTTAAAACTTCAATTCAAATTCAAATGTCTATAATTTTTCTGTTTTTTTTTCTTTTTCCAAATTTTTTAAAATTAAAATTTTCTCGGGGTACACGCCCTATGTCTATAGTGCTGCAGCGGCCACTTCTTGTTTTATCGCTGTTCAGGTATTGTTCTGTGTAGGCTCTCTCTGTGTGTGTCACTGCTTATCTTTAATACGTATTAAAGATAAGCAGATAAGATAACAATCTTTTATTCTTGTTTAAATGATAGTGTGTATAACAGTAGAGTTTTGGGAAATATTAGAATATCAAAATTTCAGCTGAAGAGAGTCTAGGTTATGCAAATAGAAGACAATGGATAATGTCCAAAAACATATTACTTGTAGAGTCTAGGTTGTTATGAATGGAAGTGGCATAAGTTATGGTTCGACATAGGATGTTCAAAACTTCAGACTGAATGAAGCCGCATGGCAGTGGTTGCTGGATCCGATGGAAATAATCTGAACAATGTAAGACATGAAGCTAGTAGACATTTCATGAACAAAAGTGGGTAGGAGGGAGGGTGATATATGAAAGACAAAATTAATAAGCTTGCAACACACACTAAGAACAAGAACATTAGAAGTTTATCTACAGGTACAAATTAATTTGAGAAGGATCACCAACCTAGATATAACTTGTAAGGTATAAGAATGGTGATTTGCTTGCAGAACCAACAGTATTTTGAATAGGTGGAAAAATTACTTATCTTAGCTCGTGAGTGTACATAAGGTTAGTGGTGTTGGGCAGATCGAAATACATGCAGCTGAGCCAGTATACCCTAGTCTAATCTTTCTGAGATTGAAATTAATGTTTAGAAGTTGAAAAGGTATAGATCACCAGGTGTTTTTCAGATTCTGGCAGAACTGATTCAAGGAGGCTAAGGATTATGTTCTGAGATCATAATTCATTAATTATACTTAGAATAAGAAAGAATTGCCTCATCAAAGATGTGTGATCAACCAAACGTATGTAACATCACAACTTCAGCGATACAACAGAATATAACTTATAATATCTATCTTATAAATACAACACTAATATAACCAATCCATTTCATATTATACAATAGATACACCAGACATGTGAATACAAATGAAGTAACAATGGGATGACAATCTAAAAACAGCCTAAAATAAAATATTTTAGAACCTTTTTACATCGAAATGAAAAGCAGAACAGCATGATAACAGAGCAGCAGGTTACTTTAATCCAATATTTTATACACCTGATGATGGCTAGTTAGGTAAAAACATGTAGTGCTGTAACACAATATGAGAAGAAGACATTGAAGTGTGAATACTAATATACCAACGAAGTTCCACAAATATGGCAAGGAGTAAGGGCATGAAGTTAGAATCTTTATTTTAAGGTTAATCCCATACATAACTGAGATTACCATATTATTCAGAATTCTCATTGAGATTTGTATACCCATGAAACTAGTGAGGCCAATTACAAGTAAAACATGCTGAAATGAAACCTATGGTACAATCTATATGCATAAATGCCTGCCTTACACTTTTCCTGTTTAAAATCATCTAAAGTAAGAAGATTCTTGTCATTGCTTTTCAACTTGGCTTTAGTATACGCCACTAGGAAGGTCTAAGAAAATCAGATGGGGCTGAATTTGAATGAGACACATTAGCATCTGGTCTATGTTGATGATATAAATTTATTGGGAGATAACAGAAGTACCATGAAGAAAAATACAGATGATTTAATTTCAACTTTATTTTCGTCCATAACTGAAGTGAACACAACTGGACATGTCAAAAAATAATAATAAATACATCACACATCAAAGTCACATAAAATTTACACTGTGATTTGTCACTATAATATACAACTGTTATAAGGAACAATAATAATAAAAAATAAAGACCAGTTAGTCAGCAAGCTGGTCTGGAAATATGCAATGAGAAAACTAAATATATGAGTATGTTGTCTCATCACCAAAATGCAGGGCAAAATCATAACATAAAGATAGCTACTACATCCACTGAAAATGTGGCAAAGTTCAAATATCTGAGAAGGATAGTAACAGATCAATTTTTTTACGAGAAAATTAAGAGCAGATTGAATTCGGGTAATGCTTGCTGCCATTAAGTTCAGAACATTCTCTTCTAGTCTGCTGTTTAAAAACGCAAGAATTAAAATGCGCAAAACTATGATCACTATGATTTAGTCTGTACTTGTAGTTTTGAATGGGTGTGAAACTTCGTTTGTGGCAATAAGGAACATAAGGAAAGACTGGGGGTGTTCGAGAACAGATGTCTGAGGAGGATATTTGACCCCAAGATGGAAGAAATAATAGATGACTGGAGAAAATTTTATAATTACTTCGTAGTTTGTACTTTTCGCCAAATATAATGATCAAGTCAAGGAGATGGGCAGGGTATTTAAAATGCGTGGGAAACAGTGCATACAGGGCGTTGATAGGAAAACCTAAGGGAATACGACCACTCGGAAGACCTAGACGTAGATTGGAGAATAACATATAAATATATGTTAGAGAAATATAATAGGTTGGGTTATGGGCTGGATTCATCTGACTCAGAACTGGGAGCGGTAGCACCCAAACGCCCGTTGTTACAGTAATAAACCTTCGTGTTCCGTGAAATGCGGCTGGGCAACTGCTGACCTTTCAACAAGAGCTCTTCTTCATGGAGTTAGATGGCCGAATAGCCCCAGACGTCACTAGACATGATGCCAAGTGAAGATAATGATCATCAAGACGATCGAGACGATCGAGACCGATCCAGACAGCGGATGATGGATCCGTAGTTCAAGTGTCATAATCTGTGATAGATAATTTGATAGTTGCAAGTTGGTACTAAACGTCATATGGCGGAAGATTAGCACTTGGTTGTGGCTTAGTTAAGGTCGTTAGGGTTAGGTTGTTGTTTGAAGAGTACTTACTATATTAGGTGTTATTTTTGTGGTATTAATTATCCTATATCTCAGGATGGTAAACTTAGGAGATGAGTTTCCGAATTTCAAAGCAGACACTACAAGTGGGCCTATTCAATTTCATGACTGGATAGGAGATTCGTGAGTATTGCAACCTAGCCGTACGCAATGTATTGGAATGTATTCTTTTAAGATACTCCCAGTTTATATAATTTTTGGATTGCGTGATATGTTTTATATTAGGTGGGCGATTTTGTTCTCTCATCCGTCTGATTTCACCCCTGTATGCACAACAGAACTGGGACGTGTTGCAAATTTAACTTCAGAATTTGAGAAACGTGGAGTGAAAATTATTGCATTATCATGTGACTCTGTTGATTCTCATAAGAAGTGGATCCAGGTAAGAGGAAGATGCAGAGAAATCGTATGAATTAAACCTGATGATGGAGATGAGAAATAAATTGTAGGTTGCTATTACTCTGATCTTTCATGTCCAGGTGACATAAGATATGATTATTACTAATGGAAGGGGCATAACCATAAAACAAATGAAATTTAAAGGTAATTTAAGTTGATCTGAAGAACAAACAAGGAACGGTTAGCAGCGTTTGATTGTATTAGATGCAGGCTAATGAGTGAATATATCACTTGACAGTTTGTATTGTTTGATATGAAAACATGTTGCCATTATGTATGATGCTCCTTGAAAATTCCCTAAATGTATCTGTTGCATAAACTAAAGAACTGTTTTGCCCCTTCATAAGAATGAATTCTAAAGGCATGTAATCTCGTTGGCAAGGGGCTCGTGTGATCCATAGCTGCTAGTTTGACATAACTGATACACCGTTTTGTCACAGATTTAATGAATTTTGCTTTTAGATATACACAGATGTTTTATCGGGTTGTCATCATTTTCTGATATCCAGTTTTGTTCATTGACATATTGATAGTCTGCTACATCATTCAGTGATTTTAATGTCCTTGTGATCATGTGTATGGTTGTCACTTTGACCGCTTATGTTACCTTGACATTACTGATACACTGTTTTGTCACAGATTTAATGAATTTTACTGTTAGGTATACACAGATGTTTTATCTGGTTGTCATCATATTCTGATATCCAGTTTTGTTAATTGACATATTCATGGTATGTTACATCATTCAGTGATTTTAATGTCCTTATGGACATTAGTGGGGTAGTGGGTCTGGAACAGGGTCCACTCAGCTTCGTGATGATAATTGAGGAACTATTTCAAGGAAACAGTGGCTCCAGTCTAGAAAACCGAAATTAATGGCCATGGGGATTCGTTGCGCTGACCACGCGGCACCCTCTATCTGCAAAAGTTGGTACTAAACTTTGCTGACAAGCGATTGTGGAGCAATTGGTGGAATGAAGATTGACAGGGGAAACTGAAGTACTCGGAGAAAACCTGCCCCAACGCCACTTTGTCCACCACAAATCCCACTTGACCAGACCCAGGATCGAACCCGGGCTGCTGCGTTGGGAAGCCAGCGACTAACTGCTTCAGCTATGGCGTGGCCCTCAAGGGGAGAATGGTAAGATGTAAGAGGAAATATTGCCTATAGAGGGAGAGTAAAGAATCTTGGAGCATCTTTGTCTGGCCCCATTGAACCCACTCTGGAAGAACATAACCCACAAGCTTAGGGAGCATATAAGATGTCAGCCATACTCATAGGCCCATCCTCAGGGCCAGAAACAGTGATACCAACTCCCTAGTTTGAGATTAAGCCTCTGTTTAAGGGTGGTCGTAAAGATGATCCTACTATTTATAGACCGATTCCCCTTTTAGCTTCCTTTTCAAAAATCTTTGAGAGGATTATATTATCCAGATTGAATCAGCGTGTCTATGACCATAATATTATAGTTAATGAACAATTTTGGTTTTAGACCTCAATCTTCAACTACTAAAGCTTCCTATGTTTTAATTAATGAAATATTAGAATCATTAAATAAGCAAAAAATCGTAGGTGGTATTTTCTGCAACTTAAAAAAGGCTTTTGATAGCGTTAATCATGGGATTTTATTGAACAAACCTCAATTTTATGGAATAGATGGTAAATTTCATGATTTAATGACATCCTATTTATGTGATAGATATCAGAGAGTCACCAACTTGAGTTACATTGGTACTTCTAGTTGGGATATTGTAAGGCATGGTGTCCCACAGGGGTCCATTCTTGGTCCACTTCTTTTTCTCTTTTATATAAATGATCTACGTAAAATTTTTAATAACTCAGTCAAATCAGTTTTAATTGCATATGATACAAGTTTAGTTATTAATAGTTATAATAATGTGACATGTCTAACTGTTGCTGGTCAACGGGAGGTGGAGCGAGTTACCACGAAGACAGATGCTTCATAAACGGCCTGTTTTCTTTCTTCTTCCTTCCTTCCTTCCTTCCTTCCTTTCTATCCATCCCATTCTACCCCATAGCCCATCTGTTTTCACACTTTCCTTTCTACATTGATATATAAAGGGCTGTGTTTCTCACTATTCCATGTGTTCCTAGCCAGTATCCTGTCACTTTGACCCTGAAGATGGATGCAGCATCTTCCTCTGAAACATTGGCAATGCAGTTTATTTCCACACTATGCCATTACACAGAACAAGAATCGGTATCAATACTGAATTGCTGAGAAAGTCTAAATTGTAACTTCTGACTGTATTTATAATCTGTGGCTATACATGCTGTATTGTTGAGTTACATACCAAACCTGGAATAGTTCTGAACTATAAGGAAATGGTTTCAGAAATTACCATTCTGGAAATGTAGAACAGTTCTAACAAGAAAGTGATTGCAGGATATCAAGAGCTATGCAAAACATTCTGGTGATGGATTTCCATATCCAATAATTGCTGATGAGAGTAGGGACCTGGCAGTGCAGTTGGGGATGCTGGATCCCCTTGAGAAAGATAAAGATGGTCTGCCTCTGACATGTAGAGCAGTGTTTGTGATTGGTCCAGACAAGAAACTACGTCTCTCAATGCTGTATCCAGCTACTACTGGGCGAAATTTTGAGTATGTATTATCATATCATTTCACTATGACACCAGAGTGCTGACTAAAGTTTCAGTTCTGCTGTCCTTTGCAAAGTTGTTGGATCTAAATACAGTGTGTCCACGAAGTCCCATCGGGGTTTTGAAAAATTGTGGCGCACAAACAGATTGAGCTAGCCACATGCAGTTTGTGGCAGATCATAGTGAAACTGTGGAAGTCTTACTGACCTCAGCACCTCGATGTTGGCTCCCTTGGTAGCCCAGAGAATGTCCAGACAATATGCAAGCTCTTGCCATGTTCTGTGGAGCATGTCCACTGGAATAGCCGAGATCACATTCCTAATATGGGTCTTCAGGTAATCAAGTCTGTTAACACTTTGCGGACCGCGCACCGTTTAAAAGGTTTTTCTCTTTTAAACGTGGTGGACCGTTCGCGTGTTAACAGGCTTTTAGAACACGATAAGTTGCAACACACTATACATCGCTCTGGAGCCACCTACATTGCACACAACCGCCTGCAGATGCGTGATAAGACTCTGGAATGTGTAGTTAGCAGTCAGTAACTTGACCCCGCTGTTTACTTAACCGACTATAAAGGAAAATGCTTTGCCTTCTTCAAGCTGTGTGTATCAGCCAGTAGCTTGTGGGGAGAATTGATCAAGGACAAATTCTCCTCCTCCTCCTCCTCCTCCTCCTCCTCCTAACTGACCTGCCTTGTGAGACATGTAGTAATGGATTAATTGTCATTCAGACAGCGACAGTGACGGGGGACAACAAAGAATTGTGGCCACAGACAGTAAAAGTGACAGTAGCTCCGACGATAATGCGTGTAATAACATTGCGTGTAGTAACATTGTGGGGACAGCAAAAAATCTAAAAAAAATCTAAACCCTGATTCAGAATTGAAATACAGAGCATTTCTGATGAATGTGGCAAGGGCCTGGGCTACAGTCCAGATGGTGGCGGCAGAACCAGGGTCACACAAAGATTTAGTACAACCGGGCCCATCAACTCTCACCCCACGAAGGCCTCATGTGGACCCCCCAGGGCGACTCTTGAGTGATATGCAGAAAAATACCCTTGTGAAAATTGTGAAGAGTGAACATTCCAAGGGGAAGAATACTTCTAGGCAATGCCCTGTTCGCATGGTTCACAAAAAAAAGGAGTATGTCTACATTTGCAAGTTATGTGTAATGCCACTTCACAAAGGGGAAAGTTTCCAGAAGCACTTCCTCAAGCACTTCTAGGAGCATTGGTCAGTGTTCTCCAAAAATTTTAGTTAAAAAAATTAATCAGGAGATTTTATATTAATTTTTAAAGTGAACAGTGCACAAGTTAGGGTAGTATGTTTAAAAATGCCAGTCCCCAGGGTGATTTAAATATTTAAATCACTGGTCCGCGAAGTGTTAACTGGTGTTCAGAACACATTGTTCTTGACATAACCCCACAGAAAAAATCCAGTAGTGTTTTGTCTGGTAAACATGGAGGCCAAGACATTGGACAATCTCTGCCGATCCATCTTCCTGGAAATGTCCTGTCTAAGAACGCAGATTTTTTCCTGTGGGGGTATGTCAAGAGCAGTGTGTTCCAAACACCAGTTAACAGACCTGATGACCAGAAGACCCGTATCAGGATTGCGATCTCGGCTATTCCAGTGGACATGCTCCACAGAACATGGCAAGAGCTTGAATATCATCTGGACGTTCTCCGTGCTACCTAGGGAGCACACATCGAAGTCTACTGAGGTCAGTAAAAAACTTCCAGAGTTTCACTATGATCTGCCACAAACCGCATGTGGCTAGCTCAATTTGTTTGCACTCCACAATTTTTCAAAACCGTGATGGGACTTTGTGGACATTCTGTATAATTAAAATGTTTCAGAATGGAAATGAACAAGTGACATTGTAAAAAGTGTGTTACAACAAGATGCCACAGGTGTTAACATTGTGGATTATACTGTAACACATAGACCCTAAGATCTACAGGTAAATATTAAATATCACTGGCACAGGCATTCCAAGGTCCCGCAGGTTTCAATCCATTTATAACTCTATACTTTGGTGGCAGAAATAAGTCCCATGGATCAATATCTTGCACATCTCACTCGCATTTGTACACTTTATTCTTCACTTTGCTCCTATATTTACCTCTCCATCTAGCCATTTGGTCATAGGAATGCTGATAAACTTCATCAAGTTTATAAACTGGTGTACATCATATGTTATGGAAGTACTTATGTTTAAATCAACACCTTTTAAACATATTACTACTGGAAGTGTGATTGTATTGTATTTTTATTGACTGAAGCAACTGGGAAACGTGTTGAAATAGAATCTACTAACTTCCTAAAGATAACGTAATGGTCTCTGTCCCAACTGACACTGACATTGACACATATATATGTACGTATGTAGTGACGTGTGTTTTGGGCTTGTTGTCTTGGGCCAGCAGGGGCTGGAAGGGAATAAAACAGCAAACTGAGAAGGGGAAGCCTCAAATGCTGTCAATTTCATGATCCATGGGACTTCTTTCTGTAGTCTTAGTATAGCAGATGTATTTTATAACATGTTTCCAGATAAATTTCATATTAAAAATTAAATTAAAGAAGTGATTCCTTTTGAGTATTTAAATTGCAGAGAGACTTTTCTGTAGAACTGTTAAATGCCTATTGCTAAAGAAGTGTCACAAGTGAATCATGTTAAAGTGTATTACAATAATAGCCATTTGTATGCTTTTCTGTTCATTGACTTGATGGCAGTTAACAAGAGAACAAATGAGAAAAATGGAGTTGAGGTTCTCATGGCAGTGACTGTTTATAGTTTCATTGATAGGTTCCTCCAAAAATGTTAGTATATATCTACCAGACTATAACAGCAACATATCCCAGAACTCCTTAATTTTGAGAAAATTTACATGGCAGCAATGTTTTTTCTTACGGGGTGTTGCAGAATGCAGAATGATGGATCATAAATGTATGCATTAAGGAAGAACTGAGAATGGAAGATAGTAATATAATAATAATAAAAGAAGTAACTGGGACACAGTAGGTTGTAATGCATGAAATCTGAATTACAGATCTGCTGTATCAGTATAAACATAAGGACAGAAAATGCTAGTGGTGTCCAACAAAAAAAGTGAAAAGAGCAGTTTTAATCTTTGTAACAAGTGTGCCAAAAGTGTAATCTGTGATGATGACAATGACAATGATGACGATGATGTCAGTGACAACGGTGATGGAAGTTTCATACTCTCTGTACAGTTCAGTACCCTGCATTAAATATTTTTTGTATTGCTCCCACCTTGTAATAAGCTTGCATGACTGCCATATTGCTATTGACTGATTGATAGCTAAAAAATACCAAGTTTGGGAAGTCCCAAGTTGCAAGGTGTATACTCAAAATTATAATTGTGTTTCTAGCAGATAAATTAAGTACTCTCTTATTGAATGTTTTTTTTTAAGTGAGATACTTCGTGCTGTAGACTCACTTCAGCTTACAGAAAAGAAAAGGGTGGCAACTCCTGCTGATTGGAAGGTAAGAGATGTTAACATAAATTCTGTTTATCAATAGAGTTTGATATTTGGCCTGCATGGTGAGGTACCAGATTACAATGTCTGGGAGGATTATTTTAATGATACTACTTGCATGTTTGTGGTTATATCCAGGCTTCTGCTAGCTCACTCTATGGAGACAAATCCTTGAGCAGCTAACAGTAGCTCAGCTACTCAAGAATTTCACAACATTTTATGGAACCAAGTGGTTTGTTACCATGTTAACAAGAGCCCACCACTGATCTCTATCCTTAGCCAGATTAATCCATTTTGTACCCACCTTCCCATTTCTCTTAAGATCCAGGTCTTCATAGTGGTATATTTCCTTCTGCTTTCCCCACCAGTACCCTGCATACAGTACACTTTGTGTTCATTCATACTGCATGGCCTGCATATCTTATGCTCCTTGACTTAATCATTCCAAATATGTCCAGGTTTCCACTCCTCCAAAATATTTAATTTTGTTTATGCAACCAGAAATGCTGCTTCTGTGTAGTAAATTAAATTGCTGTCAGTACTATTTCCCATATAGTCGCACTTAGATTCTTTGTTGCTTGGTGTTGTAAACAGATTATAAAGTCTTTAAGGTGACAGACTTTTATTAAGTATACTCAGAGCAAGGGTATATCCTTAACATCAGTTAGTGATATAAACTGTAAGATGATCATTAGAATGTTCCTGGATACTGTTTTCAGTGTACTTCTTGGATATGCTCAAAGCAAAAATTGTGGAGGCAGAGAAATAGCCATTGATAAGCAATGGCTGTGTAACACATGACAATGGAATAACTGCTGGAAGTGGTATTTTCTGTGTGGTCAGTGCCAAGGCTATATGTCAGTTACCAGCTTCCATTACGGAAGAGAATGGAAGAGAACACCTGTGTGGAGGCAGTGTCGAATACCTCCACCGTGACCCTGCGAGTCATAGGAGGTGACGAAAAGGGAAGTCTCAAATCTGAGACAGTAAAATATGGTCGCAAGTCCCAAGAGACTCGGACCCGAGAAAGAATGCGCTGGCAAGGGCCAGCAGCATACACAAAAGACAGACCCGTCTTCTCGTCAGAGAGGGCGCCCCACAGAAACAAGACCGTAACTGTCAAACGGTAGTAATTAATATCTGGTTATGAGCCCCAGATGGGACTCAACACCAAGACTTACTGACTGACTGACTGACCGACTGACCATCAGTCACAATGTGACTTTGACTTTGACTTATGGAAGAGAACACGTGTGGAAAGGGCCAGCAGTGTATACAAAAGATAAAGCCGTCCTCTCGTCAGAGAGGGCACCCCACAAAAATAAGACCATAAGTATCAAAGAGTAATAAATATCTGGTCATGAGCCTCAGATAGGGCTCAACACCAAGAATTACTGACTGACTGACTGAGTGAAACCGAAATACTCAGAGAAAACCTGCCTCAGTGCCACTTCGTCCACCACAAATCCCACTTGACCAGACCCGGGCTTGAACCCGGGCCACCGTGGTGGGAAGCTAGCAGCTAACCTCTTGAGCTATGGCACGTCCTGATGACAAATGACTTACTACTACAGAGAATGACTCTGACAGAGGACAAACCCATCCTCTCATCAGAGAGGGTGCCCCACAAGAACAAGACTGAAACTGTCAAACAGTCAAACTCTCTTTTAGTAGTTGAAAGTATCCTTGAAATCCCCCTAAAACTGTCTCCTCGAGATGGTCGGTCACATTCTTTTGCATGGTATAAAATCACTTTCATCTTCATTTTAAATTTGGAAAGAGGCAGAAGTCAGTCGGAATCAAACCTGGTGATCTTGAGGGGTGGTCGAACTTTGTAACCTCTTTTTGCATAATAAATATTTGAGCAGTTAACGTGGTATGTGCAGGTGCATTGTTATGCAAAAGAAAGACTTTGTTTTCATGAAAGCCTGGTTTGACCCATCATATTATTTGCAATAATCGTTCCATCACTTCTAAATAAAATGCAGCTTTTGTTATTTGAGCTTCTGAAAGAAATTCCGCTTGTATCAAATCTCATTACTCTTCTAGCACATTAGAAAGGGCCCTCTAAGAATATAGAAGTATTTTCCAAAGCCTCCTGGCTTTCTGATTCCACCATTGGTTTTAGTTATCTAGTATTGATTGAAGAATTACTGAATGAGTATGTATGATAAGTGCATAAAGGATATGGAAGAAAGCACTTGTACAGCTGAATAGATGAGTGATAATGTGAAGATTTTTAAATGCACACCGAAAAGTTTCCTCACAACAAATGCTTTTTATTCAATAGATGAATATATTTCTGCTAAACATGTATAACATTTAATAACTATATTCCTTGTAATTTTGTTTATGAATGACAATGTAAATTATGGTTATTTGGTGCTTTTGGTTGTGTGCAGTTGTTTGCTGTTCACACGATTGTACTTCTGCAATCAAGTCTTATTTTGACGAGTTCAGTATCTGGTCCAATTCGGACAGCGGATTAGTGAATTTATGAATTATGTATGTATGTATGTATGTATGTATGTACATTTGCGTAGAGAAACTAAAGAAGTGGAATTTGAGGTTCTCACAGACCTGGTTATGCAGAGTTCTGTCTTCTGGTATATTCATTTGTTCATCAGTAATCTGTCAAGACGACGGGTCCACAATCTCTTCCAAAACAGTTCCTCCACTTGATGCGATCTAGAGCTTTCTCCCTCAAATGAAAATATCCTCTTCCGTCCCCAAGGTCATCCAGCACCTTATTACATCTTCTTCCTCGTCTTCTCGTCACTTCTATCCGCCCCTCTATCTTTCCTTCAATAACTTCTTTTAGAAGGCAGTTACCACGTAAGATATGACCAATCCAATTAGCCTTCTGTTTTCTTATTTCGTGTAGGATATTTCTCTGCTCACTGTCTCTAAATAACACTTCTTCATTTCTCACATAATCGGTCCAACTGATCTTCTCCATCCTTCTCCCACACCACATTTCAAAGCTTTCGAGGTGTTTCTGATCTACTGCCCTAAGTGTCAAGTTCTTCTGGTATATTAACACCCATTATTTCAGCAGCCTACACAGTATTATGTCTGAGAAGGTAGAACTCTTTGGAACTAAAGAAGAACATTGAAACTTGGTCAGGATAGCCACTCTCTTGCTTGATATTAGAATCAGGGACCCTTTGAATGTGAAGCAGAAGTTCTGAGCATTGGTTATATTTGAAGGGGTTATGCAAAGCTGTCCCTGTGTTTCAGATCTGAAGTGGATGTGTTCTTTGTTTCAGGCCGGTGGTGAATGCATGGTGCTTCCAACATTGAAAGATGAAGAAGCCACCAGTCTTTTCCCCAAAGGCTACTTTGTTGTAAATCTCCCATCAGGCAAGCCATAACTTGGTGTTACTCCACAGCCTTGACTGTTGCAAGTTCCTTGAAGATTCTTGCAGCTACATTTAATTGAGTTCATTGGTTACATAAGATAAACATTCTGTATCTGTAAGAACATTTTGTGCACATAGGTACCAACTTTCTGAAATTAGTATTAAAATAAATTTTAAGTTCAGCTACTTAAAAAGTGGTTTTAATAGATTTTTAAAATTGTGGTGACAGAGGAACATGATTTACATCAAATGTTCATTGCTCTGTGCATTCAAATATTGCATTTATGTTTGTCATTTATAGAACAGATAATTACAATTTGTTACATTATCTGGATGACGTTTTTTTTTTCTTAATTCATGGGGTAGGGGTAAATTGAGATCAGTTTGGCCTATTGTACCATTCTTGAATAGATAGTGAGTAAGGAGTGTTTTGTGGAATGAGAATTGGCAAGGGAAGCCAAAACACTCAGAGGAAATGTGCCCAGTTCCACCTTGTCCATCACATATCCCACATAAACCAAACTGGGATTAAACCTAGTCTACCAAGGTGGAAAACCGGTGACTAACCACCTGATCTGTGGGATGGCCAGTAAGTGTCAGTTCAGTACTTAACCTTGCACTGGGATATTTTGACTTAATACTTAGGAATTTGAAAGTAATTTAATTATGCCTTACTGTGTTATTAGTAAGTTGAGGTTAGTGTTAAGAAATGTAAGTGTAGTACTTTCTACACACAGCTGTATTTCCTAGTCACACATGGGTAACAGTGCAACCTGATTTATCATTGCTACTGTTCAGAGGTGTGCTAAATCAGCATTAGAATTGTCATATGTTTATAATTTCAGTGATATTTTATTGTTCCATAAAAAATAATTGTAGAATATATTTTGGAATAAATACAGGATTTTAATAATGCTACCTTCCCACTACAGTTCTGATTTCCCATACATATTTTTTCCACCGAAATGTGTTGTTCCTCTTTTTGTACTACTTGATTATGTACCTGTTATTTGGAATTCAGACTTCTGTCATCAAACAAGTGGTCCTCTTATCAGTCTAATAGTATGACTACAATGACAATAAGCCAGGAATAAGATGGTGTTCATCATGAAAATTTTGGTGACGTAATAAGAAAATGGAAAATGCCTGGAAATTGACTTGCTGAAATTTGGTCCCATTAACTCTTTACTAATAGGAGCATTCCGTATATAATGCCTCCTATTTTTTTAATGAAAACTACATCAGATACAGAAAGCATAATATTGCAGTTAAATAGAGCAAGATTTCAGCTACTTACAGTTATTTTTCCACATAATCACCACCATTCGTTATGCCCTTTTGCCAGCGATGAACAAGAGTCTGTATGCCACGGCCGTAAAAGTCTCTGCCAGCAGAGGCTAGCCACTTTCTTACAGCTGAAATGACAGCATCGTTGTCTGGAAAATGTTGCCCACGTAGTCCATCTTTCATAGGCCCAAAGAGATGGAAGTCTGAAGGTGCTAAATCAGGGCTATAAGGTGAATGTGGTAGGACAGTCCAGCCAAACTTTGCAGTGTGCGCAGTGGTTGCCAAACTGGTATGGGGTCTAGTGTTACCATGTTACAAGCGAAAGGTTGTCTGCTTCTTTGGCCTGACTCTGGAAATGCGGGCTTTCAGCCTAGTCAGTGTCGCCTTGTAGTGTTCAGAATTAACAGTCTCACCAGGCTCCAGGAAATCCAACAAAATCACACCCTGCCTATCCTAAAAGACGATGCGCATCATTTTCCCTGCTGATGGCTGTGTCTTGAACTTCTTTTTTCTCGGGGAATCTGGATGTTACCACTCCATGGACTGTCTTTTGGAATCTGGCTTGTAGTGGTGACACCATGTCTCATCTCCGGTGACGATGCTGTCCAGAAACTTGTCACCTTCAACCTCAAACTGGTGCAACATGTCCTGACAGACTTCCATTCGATGAGTTTTGTGGTTCTGTGTAAGCATCCGCTGGACCCACCTGGAACAAACTTTGCGATAATCCAGCTTCCCCAACATCGTTTCCAATGCATTACAGCCGATATAAAGCTGTGCACACAGTTCCCTGGTTGTTATCCGCCGATCTGTACGTATGAGCTGATCGAGGTGCTGTTCATTGTGAGGAGTGGCAGCTGAGCAGGGACTCTCAGGGTGTGGCTTGTCGTGCACTTCACTTTCCCCACTGTTGAAACACACTACCTACTGCCTCACTGTGCTGACATCTACTGTATCATCTCCGTACACCTTTAGCAAGCATCGATGGATGTCAGTGGGTGCAATTTGTTTGGCAGTGAGAAATTCAATAACACATATCTGCTTCATATGCACTTTTATGTCAGAGGCCATTTTGGTAGATTGTTCTGCTGTTGCTATCTGTCACACGACAACCAAACTAACAGTACGTTGGTGGGAAGGTTCAACCTTTACTACAGCACCACCAACATCCAGCTCAGACATTACATATTAGCACAAAAAAAAAGAGGCATTATATATGGAACACCCTTCGTATGTCCTGATGAATGGTAAATATAAGAAAATTAGTTATAAATTAAGTTTATTTGAATTATATACAATACCTAAGAACATGGATATATTTGGGGTGAAATTTACTCAACAACGAATGCTTTAAGGTCATCATATAAAATCATTTATTCAACATGCTACTTCATTTCAGTTCTACACTTGAATTCACGTTGAACAGAACTGAGTCAGTCATATTCACATGCAAAGCTGTAACCTTTGATAACCCTGAGGTGACCTTTATGGCAATGGGAGGCAGCAGTGGCTCAGGATGGAAGAACAGAAATTTCTAACCACAGTTAGCAGTAAATAGGATATTCCTTGCTTTTATGGATGATATTAATAATGTGGCAAGAATATATTTATTATTCATATGGAATGTAATATTAGTTGCAGATTCATATACAGTACAAGGAGCTGTTTACTATATGCAAAACTACATTTTAGAATGCAAAAGATTCAGACTCTTGATGGATTAGTAATCTGTTGTGATTCACACGTAGGATTTTCCAGAAGGCATGCTGAGCTTGGTACCACACTGTAACATTCAAGATAGAATGAATGATATGTATTATAGATATTGTCAAGATGGACAGATTAGTTATTTCCACACATTTTTTTCTCCATTATATTAAAATATTTTAATAGGAAACATACTTTAAACCTGGGAAATGTTGAAGAATTCTATCTTCAGAGATATAATGCCATGTAGTCCATTTGAAGTTTACAAACATTTTTGAGGAATGTGTCACCTCCATCTTCATGGTCAGAGAATAAATTAAGCAAGAAACAAGCAGGTAGAACTCTTCATAACGACTGCTGTGAAAACCTCAGATCCTAACTGGTTAATGTTGACTACAAAATAGTATGTTTTCATGGAGGTAGGAACAGAATCGTGACTGTGTTCTTTTGTCAAGATTGTGTATGGGCTACCACTACTTTGACAATGTCTATCACAGCAGCAGTGTAAGGTCAAGGATGTTATGAGGGTCAGAATCTGTCACTGACTAGTTTCTGTGAGGGGTATAATATCTGTCTTCTAGCACTTGATGAGCCCCAGAAATACCTATGCTTCATTTTAAAAACAGTTTTGTTGCAGTTCCAAGAACCTTGAGTGAACATCACATTGTATAATATTTAAGATGATGATTAGAATTGCCAACTGCAGTACATTTTGTGACTGAAAATTTCACTAAATTGCCCTACCTTGGTTTTCCAGGTATGTATTGTGTAATGAATTGGCCATCTGTCCCTGTATGAAGTTTTGGAAAGGCAGTTTGTGTAACATGATTTTAAATTCCAGATTGGTAGGAAAGGAATACCATTAACTATTGAAAGTTTGTGCTTATAAGAATAAAGTGTAGGCTTTGGAGCTGCTACAATTTTCAGCCTGAATGCCACCTGCAGGGAGTCAATAACTCGAAGTGTTTCACTGAAATGAGAAGAAATTGAATTAATAATGTATTTGTCACAATTTTTTCTTTATAACAAGGGATTGAATATAGTAGCAGTGTGATCATTGATGCCAGCACACATTGCTACTACATTTGATCCCTTCTGAAAAATTAGATAGGCTGCAGCATTCCAAATCCAGTGTCCCAACCCTTGAAATAAATTAACGTTCAAACATAGAGCAAGAAAAGTGAAAATAATTCGTTTTCCGTGTGCAAACTCTGGGACAGAATTGATTTTCAAAACCATAATATACTTAAATACCAGGGAAAAGAACTTCAGAAAAAATACACATTCAAAGATATAAATTTGCCACTCATAGTGAACTGTGGGTGTAAGGTGTTATGTTCTTCAACCCCTGAAACTGTGGGATCATGAGTTAAAATCCAGCTGGAGACATGGATTATATCAGCGTTTTTGTGTGGGTGTGTGTGTGTAGGTAGAGACTGCGATTCCTTAGAAGCCCCACCAAACAGCCGAAGGATTCATAACTTCACAACTCTGAATCCAAGCAGGCCACAGTGTCTCATCGGTAGCGGGTGAAGGAGTTGAATGCTGATCGATTTTGAATTACTGTTTTCCCTATGCAGCGTTTCTAATTATAGTCACCATACTGAAAAGTTTATGTGCTCGCGGTTTAAGACTCAGTGTTGGTGCAACCAACTACGATTTCCCAATATTCACTCTTTCTCTTATTGATAAATTACGAGTATATCACTTATCCCTGTCTATGCCCCTGCGAAGTTGAAGCCTAGGGCGAATAGGGTTTCAAAGCTTCTTAAATGTGGTATGGCACTTCAAAAGACTGCGCCTGCTTCCGTCATTGAGAGATGCAGTGCAAACAGATACACTGAATACTTGTAGAATAAGAATTCTACAGCGATGAGACTTGAACACAAGGACAGATGCATATGACCAATCAGGTTAACACACATATCTCGCCTCATTTGGGACATGCTGTAATCCTGTCCTGGGATCTGCCAAATTTGTTGGGATTTTGTTGTCTGCTTCATGCTGGTTTCTTGCTTGGCTTGCTTTTTATCCCTGAAGATGGAGGTTATATGCTTCTCCGAAGTATCTGTTGATTTTAATGGATTACACAGCGTTATATTCCAGAAGATATAACTCTTCTTTTGTGGGTTTTCTTTCCCTTCCAACCCTTTTCTTTGACACGGTTTACTTCGATCTACAACCCACATCACTCTGACATAGTCAAATATTCCGTTTCTTTGTACACTCATAAAAGCTTCAGCTAACAAAACCTGGATGAGACCTTCAAACCCCCTCTTTCTTAGTGACAGTGTAACCACATTTTTTTATCAATAAAAAGGCAACATATATTGTCAGATTAACATTACTTTTAGATCTATATGGAATAAATTGCACATACTTATTGGCTCACCCTTCCAACAAATAATCATGGTTATTATTATATTTTCATTTTATTTGCCTTTCTTTACTTTTAAACTTACGTATTTTAAGTGCTTGTTACTGCGCTAGTTAGTTCAAGTGGCAATGCTTCCGATTTATGTTCGGGTAGTGACTGGTTCTCCCATGTTAGGTGGGTCCCTATCACCACGTCATGGCGTGTCCTCAGGTTGCGGATGGAGGGAAGCTGCGAATATATTGAATAAGCAGTCGCGGACAGCCGACAAGAGGTGGTCCTCCAGCTTGGAGGTAGGGAGCGGGGTTAACAAATCCTCACCCTAAAAAATAAGCTTATTACGAAAATGTTCAAAAAGCCTCAAAACTGGACAGATCCTATGCATAAACGACATAGGAGAAAGAATATAGTAAACAAAAACAAATTAGAATGATCAAAAGTCAAGGAGGATGAGATGGGCAGGGGATGTAGCACGAATGGAAGAGATGAAAAATGCATATAGGATATTGGTGGGAAAGCCAGAAGAAAGGAGACTACTAGGAAAACCAAGGCATAGATGGGTGAACAATAATAAAATTGATCTCAGATAGGATGGTATGGTATAAATTGGATTGATCTAGCTCAGGATAGGGACTGCTGGAGGCCTCTTGTGATCACAATAATGAGCCTTTGGGTTCCATAAAATGCTGGGAAGTTCTTGAGTGGCTGCGCAATTGGCAGCTTCTCAAGAAGGACTCAACTCCATGAGAGAGTGACTAGTTCTCATCCAGGTCGGGACACCGTCCATCCTGAATAACATTTTCATGGATTGTCTCAGACCCTTGAGGCAAATTAAGTGATATAAGTGTAATTAGGCCACCACCATATCATTTGACAGTATGATTTCTGAGGTACTGACAACACATTAAATTATCCATAAATAAATAACAGAAATAATGTACTTGTCTGTTACAGAGTGTAATTATAGGCAAGCTCTCTAATGAGTGAAAGTAAGTGATTTGAATCATTATTGTTTAACACAAACGTGTTATAGTTAAAATGCTCATCATGTGATATAGTTTATTCGGATTCTAAAAATAAAATCGAAACAAATTAAACGGAGCAGAAAACATCTTAGCCTGTAGAGAAACTCCCCACTCTTATAGAATCCATACGTTCATTATCATGTCCACAAAACCCGCCCCTGGTACTTATCTTAAACCAGATAAATCCTGCCCAGGATATCACATCCTTTATTTCATAACCATCTTAATATTATCCTTCCATCCATGACCAGACACCCCAAATGATAAAAGGTAAAGTTGTCCCTGTAAGAGATCATGGAGGCCCATATGGTTGTGAGACATCAAGACTCCCACATTTTCTAGACAATCAGCTCACTGATGGCAGTGAGGTTTTCATCCCACAGGACCAGAGGGAAATAGTGATGAACATTTTGTGTGAGAACAGCAAAAAAGAATACCTGAAGTTAGTTACAGAGCTCTTAAGGATAGAGGAAAAGAGATTTGTGCAAGGCATCTATTACTCCATAAACACAATTCCTAAATTTATCTAACAAATAAAATGAAGTGTATGTACAAAATATTAATATTCTTAAAGTTGAGTTAAGAGAGATGCTAAAAAACTGCAGGTTCACCACTGTAATAGAACATGATGTTTATAAAAATGTACTACAGTGGGCCAGATTGGCATTGCCTAGGTCATTTTTGTATATACATGATTCTTTTCAAAATAAAAAGATCTGTTTATGCTACAATTAATGGGCCTATCACACCCTGTAACACATTAAATTCCTGTGCTAGTTAAACCAAACTGAGACTTGACTCCTATAATTATTTGTGCAGTTGTGTAATCATGTCAAGTTTTGAATTGAAGTGTTTAACTCTGTGTAGCAGAATGCTTCTTGTAAACTTAATAGTCGCTCACATGATTTAGAAATTCCATGCTTCTTCTGGAAGATGATGATCCACATTTCAAACTGTATTATAAGAAATACTGTAAAGTACTTACTAAAGTTATTAAAGAGGCTAAGATAGTACACTATGATTGATTGATTGATTGATTTATTTCGTCACTGTAGATCATTGTACATGATATAGGACAAGTCAAGTTAATTCTGAATATTAACAATTTAATATATGAGTAAGATTAAAATTACAATAGTTACAATTGTTTACAGTTGATTACAATTTAGAATTAATTAGATATTCTTATTTGTGGAGAATTTGATGGAATGAATATGATAATAAAATTTCAAAATCTTATAATAAAATAAAAACTACATGGATCTAAAACTGAGAAGGATGAACCCCAATCGCTGAAAGTCAATAATATTATGATACAGAATAAAAAGTGCATTGCAAACGTATTTAACGAATATTTTATCTCAGTAGCTCAGACAATTATAGATGATTTAAGCAATAACAAAACTCCAACCAACATCAATCCATTATATTATCTGGGCAATAAATACATGTCTACTTTTAAATCTATCAAATGGCATTATGTCTCAACTGCTGAGATTAGAAAGATAATCAAATCTTTGAAGACCAAGTCTTCACATGGTTATGATGAAATTTCCACTAGAATTTTAAAAGCAAGTATGCCATATATAACTTCGCCACTAACTTACATTTGTAATTAATCCCTTGCCCAGGGAACGTTTCCAGAAAGAATGAAATTTGCTGTGGTTAAGCCAATTTTGAAAAGCGGTAATAAATATGAACCAGTCAACTATAGGCCTATTTCATTATTGTCAGCCTTTGCTAAGGTTTTTGAAAGGTTTATATATAATAAATTGTATGAACATATAGACAGTAATCATATATTGGACAATAATCAATATGGTTTTAGACCTAATTCATCTACAGAAAAAGCATCTTTCAAATTAATAGAGGAAATACTAAAAGCAATGAATAATACAGTTTGTTGGAGGAATATTTTGCAACTTACACAAAGCCTTTGATTGTGATCATGATATACTTATCAAAAAATTAGAGTTTTATGGAATAACTGGCAAGTTTTGTGCCTTAATTAAATCTTACCTGAATGGAAGATATCAAAGAGTAACCCTTGGCCCTAACAGTTCTATTAATAGCTCGTCTAGTTGGGCAGAAGTAAAATTTGGTGTACCCCAAGGTTCAATTCTTGGCCCACTTATTTTCCTCTTGTATATAAATGCTATAACTAAGGTTTCAATTGATGGAACAAACATATTCTTATATGCAGATGCAGCTAAGAAGGGAACACACACCACAAGACACAGTTTACACAGAATATAAGAAAAACGACCCCCATAGTGGAAGAACCACATGCAAGTTTTAATTATGACACACAAGATGAATAATCTTAACAAGTTTTAGTGTGTGTAAATTTATTATAGTTGACAAATACGCACTTTTTAACTACTTTTTAAATAATTTTATAAAGGCAAGCAATGAAATAGATTAGCGTAATTAGGGCACCTGATGATGGCACTATGTTGCCGAAACATGTCGTGAAGTAACAGGTGAAATTGAGTGCACTACAAGACGGCAACTGTATACATATCATGGATGAACATACATTTGTTTACAAGAAATACAGAGGTTCATAATACTGGTACCAGACAGAATGTTAACCTATTTCCACCGAGTACTTCTCTTACTAAAGTTCAAAAGGGTGCATATTATTCAGGTATAAAAATTTACAATCATCTGCCTAAAGAGCTGAAACAATTATCTAATAACCAAAAATCCTTTGAACGTTCCCTAAAAAGATGTTTACATGCTAACTCTTTTTATGCATTGAATGAGTATTTTAATTACAAATGTACATAAATTTGAATGTTTTAACGCCACATTTTAATGTTGCTTCGTATTTTACGAAACCTTTCCAGCTTCATTCATTATTTCATATTTTCTTCAATAACCCCCCTTGTTGGCACTAACTTCGCTGACAAACGGCGATCGCTCGGTCGGTATAGTTCGCTTGTGGAGCAAAGGCCATGGAGTAAAAAAGCCCTCCTTGTTTAGTTGATAACATTTCTCCCCTCGCATTCCTTAGGACATATTCATTTCTCTAGATTTGGCGATAACCTCATAGCTCATCCGCCCAGCAGATCAGTGTTAACTTTGAAACTGTTTTTCCTGAAGCCAGTAAATAGGATGAAACATGTATCACGCCAAGAGTATGGGCAACCCACGTGACACGTTGGTTATACAAGTAATATATGATGTTGAATTCTGTAACGGATGTGACGATTACCAGGAAGTTTAGAGTAACCAATTAAATCAATTGTGAAACCGATATTTTGATACAACATTATTAAATATATATATGTACCTAATATTAGTTGCTTTAAATTAAAATGTATTAATAACGACAAATATTTCTACTTTCCAAAATGTCCATGTTTCTTGTTTGTTCACCTAGTCTTGCTTGCATGACAATCCTCGGCCATATTTTGTCAGAGAAAATTATTTCACAGTGAAAAGTTTGGAAGATTTCTTGTAATACAAATAGAATATTTACAATAATTGTTTATATAACATTCGTTGTAAGATTTTGGAAACAGTACTGTGAAGTGATAATAAAGGTAAGTATTTCATCTATTTCCACGCTGTTTAGAAACCTGCAAGTGTCTTGATTGTTTTTGGTTCTAACAACAGCAAAGACATGTTACTGGATTTTAAATAAATATATAGTATTTACTTATCAGTTTATTGGTAGAAATGCTCACATAATTTAACTTTGCCTCTTGTCGGATATTTATGCATGTCTTCAGGTTCTCTGGGAAGTGATAACGAAACTGTGTGAGGCACCCCACCTTTTTTTTCCCCCCCACCGAACGTTACATTACCGTAATAGCATTGAGACCATTGCCTCGTTAATGTGTTTACAGGTGTGACAATGTCAGCAGGGCCGTACAACTATTCGTATATCTTCAAATATATTATTATAGGGGATATGGGAGTAGGCAAGTCATGCTTGCTTCATCAATTTACAGAAAAGAAATGTAAGTAATATATCTTATTTAGTTAATTTAGCATTAGAATTAGGGAGACTATAACCTTACGAAGAAGTTCAGGTATAAATTGGTCATATTTTAACATTTATTGTGTTTTGAGATAGTTGGACAGTCCTGTTGTTAAACTAAATATTCATATGGCAATGTTGGGCATGAAAGGGGAAGCTGTGTACAATTTTATACAGCTGTCCCAGCCTTCACTGATAACAGGTGAACAAGACAATTCTCATGAAAATGTTAGTAGTTAATGAGCTATTCATTATTTCTGTCTTCAAAGTAGGTGTAATGGTCAACAAGGATGTAAGCTGTTGCTTTATTGATAATTGCTCAGACTCACTTTATATCAAACATTTGTTAGTACATCTACTCTCCAGGTCAGTGTGCAAGTTTTGTCATTGAACTGTAACAGTAGGCCAGCTTTATATTTTGAGTATGTATCATTGCATGCAAATATAGCTAAAGTCAGGTTTATAGTTCTGGAGTTGTCTTAGATTCTGTTTACATATTTCTCTGTTTCATCTTACTTCAGAATTTCCACTTTTATGTTAGTCATTTAGCAGCCAGCCCTTCATCCATTTATGTCTTCTCGTAACTGCCTGTCACAAGCCTTACATATTGTTCCTTCTGGGTGATATTCTTGCTTACCTGTTCCTGCCCTTATCTCGGTTCTCTTCTTGGGTGTTTTCATTTTACTTCCACGTGCAAAACCTTTGGGATTCTGTCTTCATTCATTCTTAAGATGTGCCAGCACCATCTTATTCTGCTTCGTATTGACTTATTTTTTCAAGGCATTTATCTTTAAATTTTCTTTTTTAATTTGTTATTCATTCTCTTCTGGCATTTCCAGCAGTACTTTTCAATCTCATCTCAGCGCACTGTTAGTCTATTAATATCTGCTTTTGTCCATATTCATGTTTCTGCTTCACACATTAATGTGGGCATGAAGTAACTTTTAGATAGACCTATTTTTCCTATTTACATCTTTTCTAGCCTATATCCTTAACTAATTTTCCTGCATATTTTATTTTTTCTGTAATTCCTTTTTGTATTCTACCATTTGTTTTACAAGGACCGGATAAAATAGTCAGTATAGTGACTGACTACAGGCTGGAAAACCAAGGGGTCAGTTTTTTTGTCCTGGTGGCAGCGTTCCTGGCTACAGAGCCAGAGGTCTGGGTTTGATTCCCAGTGCTACCAGATTTTTTCTGAGAAGTACTGGGTCTGGAACGAGGTCCACTCCGTCTCGTGATGGTAATTGAAGAGCTATTTCAAGGAAATAGAAAACCGAAAATTAACGGCTGTGAGGATTTGTTGCGCTGACCACGCCACACCCTCTGTCTGCAAAAGTTGGCACTAAACTTCACCGACAGGCGGCAGTTGCTTGGTTGGTATAGTTCACTTGCGGACTAAAATCATGGAGTTTATTTGGGGGAAGTATTTTCACTTCTCCATGTCATCCAGACCAGCTCTGGGGTCCACCCAACCTATCCAATGGGTACCTGGGGCTCTTTCCCTATGGGTAAAGCAGCAGGGGCATGAAGCTGACCACTGACCACCACCTAGTGCCGAGGTTAAGAAAATTTGGATCTATACATTCACTCCCCCATACACCTTCATGGCATAGTGCTTAATTAGTTAAGCACAGGGGGGACAGTTTTACCTTTACCATTTGTTTTACTTCTTAAGTACTTAAAACTTTCCATTTTCTTTATTTCAAGATTTTTAAGTTACAGTTTTATCTTCTCCATGTCCATTGCCCTCTGCCTTGTTTTCATAGCTGTATATTTATCCAAATTGACATTTAATTCAGAATGTTTTCTTTTTCTGAAGTCTTTACACGCTGTAAAAACCACACAAAATTTGCTTCTGAAGTACTTTCATTCAATTCCCATGTTAATGTGTCATCAGCATGTATCATAATTTTTGGTGTTCCACAGTCTTGCACATCATTTATTTTGCTTACTATTTCATATACATTCCCATGTTGAACAATTTAGAGGCTAAAACAATTCCCAAACTCACAGTGATATTGGGTTTTCGGATTTTAGCCATCATCCTGGTTATAAGATAACCAAGAAGAACATGACATTTCAGAAACTGGATCTGTTTCCATCCTCAGGTGAGGCTAGCTCTTTCTAAGGGACCCAACAGAATAGGTGTTTTCCCTCACCTGAGGATGGAAACAGATCCAGTTTCCGAAACGTCATGTTTTTCTTAGTTATCTTAAAACCGGGACGATGGATAAAGTCCAAAAACCCAATATCTCTGTGTGTTATACACCATCATCAGAATCCTATAGTAACTAATTCCCTAACTGCTCCAAAATATTAAAATCATTAAAAATTTTCTTCTCTCTGCCAGCCTTGCTGTTTTCACATTTATCAACAATTTTCTTTGTTCTCTCCATTAGTCTTCACAACTGTTTGCAGTCTGTATTGCTATTGAAATTCCCTTTCTGTACTTGGTGTAAAAAATGTAAAGTTGCCCCTGTGCTTGTCTAACTAAGCACTATGCTATGAAGATGTATGAAGGAGTGGATGTATAGATCCATATATTCTAGACCATGGTTCAGTTGGAGGTGAGTGGTGAGCTTCACATTCCTGTTGCTTTAACCCCGGGGAAAGATACCTTGGTACCCATTGATTAGGCGGCTGGGTGGGCCATGGAGCCAGTGGAGACTGTGGAAAAGAGAAGAATCTTGCCCCTACTGGAACTCAAAATCAAACCCCTCAGCTTTCCAGCCCATAGCCAGTCACTATACTGACTATGCCATCCTGGCCTCCTTTACATCGTGTATAGTTTATCAGTATACTGGTTTCCACAGCTGATACAGCACTATTCTCAGGCACTCAACATGGTAACCAAATAATCTGTGGTCCACTTTTTGTCTGTAGTTTAACTTATCCAACTTTATAGAGTATTCTTGAAGTAATATTCCTCTGCTTCTAAGTATACCTTAGTGAAATATACTACTGTATGGAAGTAGTGGAAATTTCATGCCTAACATTCTTTCAAAGTTGTTCCAAAGAGTAAGCATTGTTCACATACACTTTTCTTTTGGTATATCCCACAAATAGAAGTCACAAGGATATAAATTGGGTGATTGCAGAGGTCACAATCTTTGACTTGTGACTTGTTCACCAAAGACACCATTTAATGCCTCAGTAGAATTGATCAAAGTATGAGCCATTGCATTGTCTTGGATAAAATGCCCTATGATTTTTCTTCATCAGTCAGTAGTTTGAAGAAGGGTCACAGTTTAATGTAATGTTTAGAATTGTTTAATTATGAAACAAGAGCCCATTTATCCTCTGCACTAATTGCACACCAAACCCAAGTTTTTATATCACGAATCTTTTGAAGAGCATGAAGAGTTACTGTGTTCCAATATGGGTATGCCTCATTATATAAGAGTTCAAGAAATGTGATTTAGTTTTTAATATGATCAGCCAATTCATTCAGTTGATAGCACTCACTCAAATGTTAGTTGCTTGCTGGCCAATCAAGAGTGGTGGGGAGAAGGGAAGTGGAGTACTGTTTAGTAAACAGTGGAGGAATGCAAGGGAAAAGTTTGCCCAGCCACAGAACCTCTTTTTCACATCTGTTTGGTGTAAGAAATCAGAAGCTGGGAAGCAGTAAAAGTTTGTGATTTGTCATGGCCAGGAGATCCAGCAAATACTTCTAGTGAAATTTTACCACCAACTTCATTGGTCATAAATATAAAACTCAATATTGCTGAATTTGTCAACAGATTGAGCCCCCTTCTGTACCACTGCTATAACCTTTATCAGCATTAGCCATCTCCCCCATTCATCTCAGTGATTCATCCATCAGATCACCCATCCTTCCTTTTAACAAGTCATCTGCCCTCGGTAGCATAGGTGGTTGAGGCACTGTACTGCAAGCCAGAAGATTGCAGGTTCGAATCCTGGTGACATCATTGGATTTTTCAGTTGGCCTAACCCTTCCAGCTGCACTATGGCCCTGGGGTCGACTTAGCCTCTAGCAGAAATGAGTGCCAGGAATCTTCCTGGGAGGTAAAGGGCGATTGGCACATAAAACTGACAACATTACCACCATCCATAGTTTCACTGTCTGTAAGATATGGGAGCCTCAACATCTCACAACCATATGGGCCTTCACAGCCTGTTATCGGAATAGCTTTACCTTTTTACCTTCTGTGATATTTATGAGTGTTAATTTCGGTTATTTCTTTATTACTAACAGAAGGTATCGAAAATAATTAAACAGTGGTTAAAATACATCTTTGTAGTATGTTTATTATTGTTTGAAAGAAAGAAAGAGAGTGAGAGAGGAAGTCTTGGGAAAAGGGGGTAAATGATTTTGATTTGTTGACACAGGTTTTAAGCACCCATTTCAAAGACATTGTGCCCTGTTCCATAGCAGTGTTTAACATTGTATTTTCAAAGTAAACAATTATGAGCACAATTTAGTCATGCTGAAATGACACAAATATTATAGAAATAAGAAAAGGGATGTACTGTACTGAACAGGACACGGCATTCCTATCAATTCTAGTGAGGAAAGTTCAGTTATGTGATTTCATGCACTCCAACTTTTGTTTTGGAACTTACCTGTCTCGTAAATCAAGAAGTGCCTGTGCCTGTATGATGTTTTTATTTATGGATCAGGAATTAGCCACAGACAATAAAGCAGTGTGCAAGTATAGGATGTGGTTCAAATTCTCATTCCTAATATCACCCTCTTTGTGAGAGCCAAGGGATGGTTTTTGGTCTTCATTTGTTCCCCATGTACAAATGCTGGGATGTCATAAAGTACAAAAGGGATCATCTATGCTCCTCATTACTTTAAACACTGCCATAGTGGTGGAAAGCACAGAATACTCAGTGGAAATTATTTGCTGTCAGTATGCAGCATTACTGTTGTTGTATTTTAGGAGGCTGCTGAGTTTTGGCTGTACTGGAAACTTGGCCTAGCTCTCTGTCTCTCTCAGGCTTACATCTTGAGCAGGGTGGGCTGTGTTTGTTAATAGTTGTATACAATAGAGGTTGAGTGTGATGGCACATGTAAGCATAAAATCTTGGTTCTTGCATGCCATCTACGTTTAGTAGAAAGACAAAAAAATGTGAACACTTTTGGTCACTCCTAAGTCTAGCTGTAGAGTAACAAAAATCTTGTGTGACTCTACATCAACAACTGTTAACATTGATGGACTATTGCAATTTCCCAGCATGTCTGTAGTTATTCTACTGCGACTGCATTTCTTTCTGATACTGACATTGCACATTCTGTTGCTTTCCCTATCTGCTTCCCACTTGCTCTAGTCAGAGGCCTTCATAAAGTAATTCATCTGTACTTGTTAATACAGCTTAATCAAACATAGATTACATGTACATATCTACACGGCACACAGCAAAGTAAGAGATCAAAATACCACTTTCTTTCAGAATGAGCTGCTGCAATGTGAAAACCTTGGTGGGAGGGAAAGAAGGAAGGATGGTAGAAAGAAAGAAAATTAAATCATTTTGTAAAATACCGAGTCTATACAGGTTTTGTTGATAGATGTCATTCTTCTTAGAAATAAGAGTTTCTTCAACAAGAACTCCCTTTCAGCAAAATGTCTGACCTGAAGTTTTACAAGTGATAATCTCATAAGGGTGTGCTGGATGTGAATATAAATATACTGCTTTCTTCGTACAGTGCGTAAATCATGGCTGAACATTTTTCTGTACACAGTAAAGAAAGGTATCTTTTAATTCTATTTTCACATTGTTTTATATGAAATTTTCAGGCTGCGGTATTTTAGCTAGTGAGCAATGTGTATTTACGGAACAGCTTTTTATATGTCTTTTTTATTGTCTACGTGGTAGTGTAGTTGGTTGAGGCACTATGCTACAAGTTGGAAGGTCACGGGTTCAGGTCCTGATGAGGTCATTGAATTTTTTCAATTGACCTAATCCTTCCAGCCGCACTGTGGCCCTGGGGTCGACTCAGCCTCTAACAGAAATTAATACCAGGAATATTCTTGGAATGTTCTTGGGGGTAAAGGGTGGCCGGTGCGTAAGGCTCGCAACCCTATGGGCCTCCACGGCCTGTTACAGAGATACCTATACTTACTTTACTTTTTACTTACTGATATTGCTTAATTGAATCTGGATGCCAAGATTTCTGTGTGGAGCTTTTTTGCTTCTCTGTGCTTAGTTTCTGTTTTGCTTGCATGTTGTTCATATATATCTCAGGCCCTCCCCTGTCTGTCTATCCAGTTTTCAACAAAATATTACTTTGGGTCATATTAGTCTTATTGCAGAAAATACATGTAACCCCTCAAAAATGGGCCACATTCACATACTCTGATAAAGAGGTAAGAACAGTTAACAGGATTATTTTGTGATGCAAACATCAAAGTAGCATTTTACACAAGAAATACAGTAGGAAACACCATGAGTCGCAGGTGAATACAGCAAAAGAAACATATACCAACTAAATTCATAGTTCATAATTTATTTATATCCATAAACTCTTACACAAATACACTTGAACAAGTCAGTTTAAACCATCTAAAACACTAAAAGTAAACAACTCATAAAAATGTACAAGATGATACACAAGACTATGAAGAGCACAATCATGTTTGTACATACAAATCTTGTTTTCCTNCCTGATGAGGTCTGTGGGATTTTTGTCGATACTCCAATAGACAAACCGCTTCGGAAAGTTTGTAGGCCCTGAAAAGGGCCCTTCAGCTGGGATGTTTGGCTGGTGAGGTAGCGCTACGTACGCCGGTAGAAATAATGTCGGCTGCGGTGTGTTGACTAATGTTGCGGCAGCTGAGTTAGTGGTCTGGCCACAGTGCGGCAGTTGTCGGAAGTTGCCTGGTCGCAGAGTGTGGTTGCTGGGAGAAGTCTGGTTGCGGAGTGCAGTGTTGGAGTGGCGGCAAGCCGAGGCAGCCAGTTGCCCAGTGAGTTGGGCATGACCGCCGGCGAGCCGAGGCAGCCAGTTGCCCAGTGAGTGGGGCATGATCACTGGCAAGCTGAGGCAGCCAGTTGCCCAGTGAGTTGGGCATGACCGCCTGCGAGGCGAGGAAGCTGTTCCTGACGCAGGGAAGTGCTGATGACTCCGAAGACCGATCGTTCTGTACGAAGTGTGATAGCTGGCCGGCTGATGTGGTCACTGACGACTGACTACTGACTGACACTGACTGTCTGACTACTGACTGTGATGAGCAATGTGCTCCGCCTTTTATACAATGCGTGATGGAGGAGCGAAATTTGCCGAGCGCTGATTGGCTAGCACATGCAATGATCTGGATGAGGCTAGACAGCAAGTGCTGTATAAATGCGAGCGTTGGAAGCAACGTGATTAGCTAGGGCGAGTGATGGTGAAAAGTGAGCGGGAAAGTGGGTGCTGTATAAATATGATATGTGGGATGTTCCCACAGGTCATTGGATTTTTTAAAATTGACCTAATCCTTCCAGCCGAACTATGGCCCTGGGGTTGACTCAGCCTCTAACAGAAATGAATACCAGGAATATTTTTTTAATATTCTTGGGGGTATAGGGCGGCCGGCATGTAGGGATGACTGCCGCCATCTGTGAGCTGATTACCTAGAAAATGTGGGAACCTCAATACCTCAACCCTATGGGCCCCCACGGCCTGTTGCAGGGATACCTTTATTTACTTTTTTTACTGTTAAAATCTTAAATTCACCAAACAGACTTCTACAGGACACAGGATAAAATGTTTAGAGTGCCCACTGAAATACAGCCGACAGATAGTATGAACCTTATGTGCCAGGTTTTATGGAACAGTCAAGCAGTATGCAACAGCAATGGTAATTCAGGATACTTGAAATGTATATTGAATACAGGACATACATATGACAAAATAACTGATACTGTGGATATTATAAACGTGTCAAAGAAATAGAAGCTTCTGAATACTCAAGAAAGACACCACATGAACCTGATGTGTCTTAATATGAACACCACCTACATCAGTAACCACAACCTAATATTCAAAACATTGCATCAGCTTATGTCACCAGATAGCATCATGCCTACCAATACATAGCCTATAGAAACACACATCATTATAACCTTTTTACAGTCTTGATCACTCTCCATGCAGGCAGCACCAAGAAGCAACAAGAAAGAACACTAAAACTCAAAACAGAAAACAATGTGTACCCACCGACAGTCATACAGTCTTAACAAAAGAGGGAAGGAACCAAATCTTGTAATATTAAATATTTTGATACTAAGCTCACTGTCAGTTTTGATTACAGTTTTGAATTTGAACCAGTATTGATATTTATCAAACAGAAAGTTGATATTTCAAATGACAGAGTGGCAGCTTGCAAGTTAACTACAGGGTAGTTGAAACGTGTTTTATTAAAGCAATAAAAACCCAGTGGTCACTGTATGTGGTGGTGCCATAAGCTGTAATACACACAAACTGCATTTTCCTACAGATTGTAATTATGTGCTATGTGTTCTTCTCATAATAAACCAGTTATTTCTCCGAACATCATTAACTGGTTTGCTTTTGCAGCAGATACATAATAATATTGTCTGTGAGGTGTGAACCGAATATTTACATATATTATTTAAAAGAATTTCCATCTTTGAAGGGTTAAGGAGTGAACAGTGCTTGGTAAGAGTGCCTTTGTAATTAGTAAGTATTTACAAGTGAACAACATGAGTGGTGTATTTCATGTAAGTGGCAGTTAATATAGCCTATTGCATTTTCTCCAGAAATGTCAAATTATCCAGTAGCTTCCAGTGTTTCATACATTTAAGAGTATTTAATAGCTTTGGTGTGTTTTAACATTTTTGTGTGGTACTCATAGAGTTAACTGTTTAGTTACGAAAGTATGTCAGTAAACTTTTCCTGCTTCCCCCAGGTATAGAATTGAGTTCTCCAGGCATGGCATATTACATTACCTGTTTGTTAGTATAGAGTAGTAGCTGTTGACATTTCAGCTGTGTGTAAGAACATGTACCAATTCACTGTTTCATCTTGTTGCAGTCATGGCTGATTGTCCCCACACCATTGGAGTAGAATTTGGCACAAGGATAATTGAAGTTTCAGGACAGAAAATTAAGCTGCAGATTTGGGATACAGCTGGACAAGAGCGTTTCAGAGCTGTAACTAGGTAAATCTCTTCTCTTCTTTTTGCTTTAAGGTGGAAGTTCAAAGTGGCTGACACTCATTCCCTCCAGTCAAATTCCAGAATAGTATCTCAAATTAGGCTATGATCACTTTCTTCCACATCCTTTCTAATTCATTCATTATTTACTAGTCATCCTATCATTTGATGCTATAAAATCTGACCTGTTGAAATATAAGTAAATAAACTAAGAACAATAAATAAATAAATAAATAAGAGGGGAAGATTGTGAAAAATGAAGTGGGAAGGCTCTGAGAAGGTACAATGAGCTATTTTAAGGTTTTTTCTTGCATTTTCCTGGAATAACTGAGTAAAACCACCAGAAGTTTGAGAATAGCCAGGCAAGGAACCTGGGCCCTCCTAAATACAAAGAATGAATACAATCCACTCAACCATGACATTTATCATATTCTGTTTAATCTGATGTTAGGAGTTTTTTCCAAACATAAAAAATAGGTTTCATGTTCTTGATTTTATGTGTGATAAAACTGTAACTGAGAAGATGGAAATTAATAGTTCATGTGTTTAGTCATTCTTTATTCAAGCATAATGTAGAATATTGTGTGAGATGATTATCTGTCTCCACCTATTGACAGCTGCATGAGATTCAATTTGGAACATTTGCACTTGGAATTGACTGGAAAATTTGATGATGTATGTAGCTATACATTCACTCCCCCATGTATCTTCATGGCATTATGCTTAATTAAGCAATCTTTATTTATTTGTTTGTTTATGGTTTATTTACTGACACTGTTAGTAGCTCAAACTATGTAGCATTGAATGGTAAGGTATTACTACTACTAGCTAGTAGTAGCTAAGTAGTGAATAGTGAATGCAGTGGAATATGGAAGGAAACTGTCCTGGTCTAATTTTTGTACTGTCCTGGCATTTGCTTGGAGGGACTGAGGAAAGTAGTGAAGAATCTCAGTTGGTTTCACAGCTGAGATTTGAACTGGGCATGTCACAAGTACAAGTGAGAAGAAGCATTGCCACTTGAGTCAACCTGCCCAGCAGTTGCCTTATCAGAAATGGAATTAAGGACTAAATTAGTTGACAGGTGGATATCATATGACTGTTAAGGCGTAGTTTGGTAGTATGTGAAGTGTTGCCAGAAATATAACTTGAGGAGATCTACATATTTGATGAATTTTCATGCATGAACCAATAAAGTTATTGTTGACTTTGTAAGATACCATGAATGTCAATAAATGATAAATAAATAAATGTGTATTTCATTTTAGTTGATCTACATTGGATAAATTAGAACATACCAAGCTCTTATTGCTGTAAATTAAATGATGATTGTATCATGCATTCACTGTATTGAGAAACAAGAAGAAGTGGTGCAATGTAAAAACTTACTTTCGGAATCTCTGCTTGCTCTCTTACGGAGTGCTTTTCCGTACTCTTTCTGTCTTTCTCATTTACTGTTATCGTAGTTGATGTCATGTTCTCCATACCCCAGGTTCATGTAGTTACCTGCTAAGATTTTATTTGGAAAACCTGAAGGGAACTGACTTTTTGGGAGACCAGGTATTGGTGGGAGGATGTGGTAATATTATAATGAATCTTGAAAGAAATAGGGTGTGATGTGGATTGGTTCAGGAAAGAACTGATAGTTGTCTCTTGTGAACACACTAATGAACATTTGGGCCTATAAAAGGTGGAACATATCTTGCCTAGCTGAGCAACGATCAGCTTCTCAAGGACACTGTCGAGTAGAGTTAGTTAACATAGTTTTGTAGCTAGATTTAATTAATAATGGTAGTTTTGTACTTAGATTTAATTAATAATGGTATAATAATACAGGTGCCTATTTTATGTATTTATACAGTTTGCTCTGATTTTAAGGTCATATTACCGTGGTGCAGCGGGAGCTCTTATGGTATATGATATTACTCGACGTTCTACTTACAATCACCTAAGTAGTTGGCTTACTGACACAAGGAACCTCACCAACCCAAGTACTGTAAGTTATTGTTTTAATTCCTTATTCATTGCACTTTGAAGCCTAGAACTCTGCTGTTCCTCATATGCATAATGTCCTCACATGGAGAAGCAAGACATTTTTAGATCTTCACTGAATATAATTATCCACAATATATAAAAAGAAAAAGAATTCAAGGGTTAATGGCTTCATGTTTAAAAAATAGGGTTATATGTTCAGTTTGGTTTGATTTCATTTTCAGAGTTTGAAATTTGAAGAAAGTCGTGTGACATTCGGCCTGATTGGATGAAACTTAACTTTTGCTGATTGGATTTTTGTTAGACTGTGATAAACCTCTTAAAATTGGTGACCTGTTTTAAAACCTTGCATGAAACCTTAGTCTGAGCACCCAAAAAGTATGCATTGTGCTTTCACATTTTTGTGAAAGTTATTGTTGGGATATGCGAAAAAATAACTGAAGTGTAATGTGATTCTCTTTGAAATGCTGGTTAATCAGGATTTCATTTTATTTTTTCCAAAAGTGTCTTATTAATGTTCACAAACAAAAAAAAGTTGTACAAAAGTTAGTGTAATAAAGAAAAAGTAAAGCTATCCCTGTATCAGGCCGTGAAGGCCCATAGGGTTGTGAGACGTTGAGGGTCCCACATTATCTATCAAAGATGGCCGTAAGGTTGTCAGCCTTATGCGCCGGCCATGCCTTACTCCCCAGGAAAATTATTTAATTAATTCCTGGTACTCATTTCTGTTAGAGGCTGAGTCGACTCCAGGGCCATAGTGTGGCTGGAAGGATTAGATCAATTGAAAAAAATCCAATGACCTCATCAGGACTTGAACCTGCAACTTTCCAGCTTGTAGCATAGTGCCTCAACCACTATGCTACCGCGTGCCCCCAAAGTTAGTGTAATACTGCCAAATAATAATTTCATGCTGTGTTGATTTTGTGAGAAAGTGACCATCAAATATAAGAAACATACGTGAGGCAATCCAAAAGTTTCCGAAATTTAAATTTTGCGTGCGAATGGTTATGAGTACATAGAAATACCACTAGGTGTCTCCTCACGCATCCTTCTTGAATCAGTGTGTCAAGCGGCGTCAAGTTGAGTGGTTGGGTTTATTGTTGGTGAACGTATTTCCATTGTTGTGTTTCCGTGAGTTTGCGGTTTTGCGATAGCTGACCTGAGAGAGCAGCGTGTCTGTATAAAGTTTTGTTTCAAACTTGGGAAAACCACTGCAGAAATGCACCAAATGTTGAAGCAAGCTTTTGGTGAAAACAGTTCAGGCCAGACACAAACTTACAACTGGTATAAGCGTTTTAAAAATGGCCGAACATTGACTGATGACGATGGTCGTTTGGGATGGCCGTCAATGGGCAAAACACCAGAAAATGTTGCGAAAGTTAGGGATCTGATTCTGCAAGATCGTAGACTGACCATCCAAGACCTCTGTAACACCTTGGGACTAAGTTATGGTACATGTCAACGAATTTTGTCAGAGGAACTGAACATGAGGAGGATTGCGGCAAAGTTTGTTCCACGACTGCTGCAAAATGAACAGAAGCAGCATCACTTGGAAATGTTCAGGGAACTTCAGCAACAGCTTCAAGAGAATCCAAACTTTCTTTCGAAGGTTGTCACTGGTGATGAAAGTTGGGTTTATGGCTACGACCCTGAAAGCAAGCAGCAGTCGTCGCAATGGAAGAGCCCTTCTTCACCTCGGCCAAAAAATGCTCGACAAATCAAGAGCAACATTAAGTCCATGTTGATCTGTTTTTTTTTTTTTATATTTATGGGATTGTTCATAAGGAGTTCGTCCCTCCTGGTCAGACAGTCAGTAAAGAGTTCTATCGCGATGTTCTAAGGCGTCTGAGGGAGAACATGAGGAGAAAACGTCCAGAGAAGTGGCGCATGAACGACTGGGTACTCCACCATGACAACGCACGACCCCATAGGGCTTACATTGTGCAGGAATTTTTGGCTAAAAACAAGATGGCAGTTGTTCACCACTGACCATACTCGCCAGACTTAGCTCCATGCGACTTCTTTCTTCCCCAAGATGAAAAATTAAGTTGAAGGGGTGAAGATTTGATACAGTTGAGGAAATTCAAGCAGAAACGCAGACGGTACTAAACACCCTAAAAAAGGAAGACTTCTAGGATGCATTTGAAAAGTATCAGAAACGCTGGGATCGGTGTATGCGCTCCCAAGGGGACTACTTTGAAGGTGATGGTGCAGAATAAGATCCAGGTAAGACGTAATAGTTTTTATTAATATATTTCGGGAACTTTTGGATTGCACCATGTATAATGATAAATACATCCTTAAGTGAACTGTAAATTTGTTTCTTGATAGATTTAGAATTAAGTAAGTATACATTCTGAAGTGTGAAGCCACATTTCAATGAAGCTAGAGTTAAAATTTTGATGTATGCAAATCTGTGCTTGGAGTTTTGCATTCTAGGATTTGAGCCATATCACCATGCTTGAGGGAAAATTGAATCTGCAAGACATAGCTTTTATCAGCCATGCACTGAATTATTGCAGTTGCACATGCATGCAGGCCAGCTAGCTGAGTGTTGCATTTTACACTACTAATAGCAGTACTTTGTGAAAATCCAGTGACCAGCCCCATAACACCAGTGATCTGATATCATGTATTCTCAGATGAGAAACTCCTACCCTGAGTTAAAATCTCTGTGCCAGCTGGTGCTACCAGCCCAATTGTGTGGGAAGATTTAAAATCCCTTGTTCCCATATGATAAAAGGTTAATAATGAAAGAACAAATCTTTAAGTGTGATATTACTGTATAATTCCCATTTCTAAAATTTGGTTTTAGCACATTTTCTCTTATATTACATTCAGGTGATATTCTTGATTGGGAACAAATGTGATTTAGATGCACAGCGAGATGTTACATATGAAGAAGCTAAGCAGTTTGCTGATGAAAATGGCCTCATGTTTGTAGAAGCCAGTGCAAAGACGTAAGTATAATATGTTTCATGTGCCTTGGTTTGATAAATTGTATTTACAGTATATGAATATAGTGCATCTGTTTGAAAAGTAAATTGTTTTTCCTTTTATCCAGTGATATTTTGCAACCACCATAGTAACAGATGTCAGATGTATAAATGGACATTTTTGCATTTCATTAATACTTGAATGTTTTATCTTTCTTTCCTGCTTCCTGATTCAGAGGAGAGAATGTTGAGGAGGCTTTTCTGGAGACGGCTAAGAAGATTTACCAAAGTATTCAGGATGGCAGGTTAGACATTTCCACTATGAATTATAAGTGTCATGATCTGGGAGTTGTTAAGAGACTACATATGGTATTGTAATGTTTATTGGTATTTGGAGTAGTAGTTGTCTCACCACATGTAACACTCATGCAGCTGAGATCAGTCTTTTTCCACACATTACTTCACTATAATGCCCTTGCTTATTGGAAACTCATTGGAAACTCCTCTTGCATATCCTCTTTTGCCACTGCACTAAACTAACTACTTTGTTGTGCCAAACTGAATTACACTGATCTCACTTGAGGTCCTGCAGCTGCTACTATATTGTCACATGTATGAAGTGACTATAGACAGGGTTAAATTGCTTATTAAATTTATTGTCCACTTAGAGGTAGTAACTACTACAAGTCATCATAATGCTCTCGCTAATTCATGCACTCCTCACTACAGAACATGCAAAGTTCTTTCAGTTTGTTTTCTGGTAATGGATCTTAACCATATAAATTTGAGGCTGTATGTAGTTTCACTTACCTTGGATCAGAAGTTAACTGTGAAAATGATATCAGTGATGAAATAAAAAAGCATGTACGTGCTGCAAATAAATGTCTCCATGGCCTTAGGAAACACCTGAAATCCCAATTAATACCCAGGAAAGCCAAAACTATGATGTATAAAGTACATATTAGGTCAGTGCTATCTTATGCCCCTGAGACCTGGCCACTGTCAAGATCAAATGAAAGACTGTTAAGCATATTTGAAAGGAGGATCTTGAGATATATCTTTGGACCAGTGGAAGAAAATGGAATATGGAGGAAGAGGTATAACGATGAGCTATACAAACCATTTAACGAACCAGACATTATTGGATTTATAAAGGTGAAAAGGCTTATGTGGGCTGGACACATAATACGTGCCAGCAAGAATAGAACGATTAAGAAAATACTTAATACTAAACCAGAAGGAAATAGGAGAGTGGGAAGACCAAGATTAAGATGGGAAAAATGTGTGTGGCGAGACATAAGAATTTTGGGTATAATGAACTGGAGGAATGTAGCATCGAATGGAGAAGAATGGCGAGCAATCCTGAGGAAGGCCAGGGCTCACAAAGGGCTGTCGTACCATTGATGATGATGAATGGATCCTAACAATGTCCTCTGCTTACATCCTTACGAGCTGCCGAATGTCTCACAATTGATTAAACTGTAGACTTGTCCCACTTATAACCCCTCAGCACTGACTGCATAGAAAATGCTGTTCATCTCTTGCCTAGCAGCAGGCATTGTTTGTAGAGTTGTACTTAGCACTGGGTCTAGATGCTACAGTCTGCATGTCATACTTCTGCAATTTTCTCACGAGTGCTGGGGCAGCCTTAGTCCTCATCCTCAGCTGCATGGTTGATAGAACAGTGTGTGTTGGGGGGGGGGAGCAAGACTGTTGATGATTAGATCAAAAGAGAGGTGTGCCCAGACCAGATGGTGTGACCCATCCCCCAACAGTCTCAGTTCATATGACAGTGTAATGCCCGGGGTGAACTATTTCCACCACTCTTTAGTTGACAGGTAATGGTTTAATACATAAAGTGATGTTTTTTTTTTGTTTTTTTTTTGGAATTGTTTCATTTTTGGTCCGTTACACTATCAATCACAAAGTCGATGAAAAATCCGTCGAGTGTAACAATGTTTTTAGGTCACTTCTTTATCTCACTTGCCTTACATGTTTCGGTTTAAGAAAACCATCATCAGAGGCACATATTACAAACACATGAAAACACTGGCGTTGTTTAATGTACACAGTATATATGCTGCGTGGACGCTGCTACAAATGTCAGTACAGGCAGTACACAACACACAACGCGTAGGAAACATCTGACCATAAGCCTACACAACCTCAAGTTGACATCTCCCATCATCGCGACGAATTAACAAGAAGGAGCCTAACATTTTACTTCAGATGTTTTAAACTTTTAAATATTTTAACATTGACGGTTTAATTTGAGGGCAGTTTTCGGATGGAATGGAAGAGTTGAACGTGCATTCAATATTCCTAGAAAGTGTTGTGCTTTTACACTTCGACATTTGTAGCAGCGTCCACGCAGCATATACGTATACTGTGTACATTAAACAACGCCAGTGTTTTCATGTGTTTGTAATATGTGCCTCTGATGATGGTTTTCTTAAACCGAAACATGTAAGGCAAGTGAGATAAAGAAGTGACCTAANAGTACAGGCAGTACACAACACACAACGCGTAGGAAACATCTGACCATAAGCCTACACAACCTCAAGTTGACATCTCCCATCATCGCGACGAATTAACAAGAAGGAGCCTAACATTTTACTTCAGATGTTTTAAACTTTTAAATATTTTAACATTGACGGTTTAATTTGAGGGCAGTTTTCGGATGGAATGGAAGAGTTGAACGTGCATTCAATATTCCTAGAAAGTGTTGTGCTTTTACACTTCGACATTTGTAGCAGCGTCCACGCAGCATATACGTATACTGTGTACATTAAACAACGCCAGTGTTTTCATGTGTTTGTAATATGTGCCTCTGATGATGGTTTTCTTAAACCGAAACATGTAAGGCAAGCGAGATAAAGAAGTGACCTAAAAACATTGTTACACTTGACGGATTTTTCATTGACTTTGTGATGTATTTTTTATTTACACTACCTGTTACCCTTACACACCACAGTGGTAAGTGAAAAGATGTTTGTTTGGTTTCAGAACCTGAATTTAATGTTAAGTGAGAATAATTCATTGTTCCTTCCTTGCAGTGCTCTAACTTCCATGTATGCATTAGAGGGTATAGTGCATTGTTATTGTTTTTTCTATTTGGTTAAAATGCACTTAGAAGATAATCAAGAAGCAACTGATTACTGACATAAAATAAGAGATTATTAAAGGTGTGGTAAAAGAAATAAGCAGTTCCATTATTTTAATACAGTTAACCTTTAAGAGCCAAGTGACACCATATGGAGACCTTTAAAGTGTAGCTGAGTTGCCGTGTGTCACCGTATGGGTACGCGCAGTCCACGCGTGCACACGCTGTTTTAAAATCTAACTTTAAGATAGTAATTCTTGTTCTACTTACATTATTTTTGGGCACCCACTTTATAAGTAGGCAGTCCCTCCTGCTTCATCTAACTGAATGCAGAGTCCGACATCGCAATTCATGCACTTTGTCCGGATGTAACTCCGTTTCCCATGCAAAGAGTACACACGACACCTCGCTCTCGTATTAGAGGAAGTCGGCCAGTGATGTCAAGTGGCCTCCTCTAATCATAACGCTTATAAAACATCGCAATTTCAACTATCCACCATGGCCTCATTTTGTATGGATGAAGCCGGAATTGATAGGCCGCTGTTAAATGACAGCGATTCAGAATGCAGTACAGACGACTCTGAAAGTGGCGTGGAAGCAAGGGGAAATGCGGGGCTATTCCAAGAACAGTACCTCTGTGTGGCTGGTCCGAGATATACACAGTCAGAGTTTCTGAACGACAAAGTACGATAAGACTTCGCTCACACTCGTGCATGCAGAAAGGTTCTGACGTGACTGGGGAATGTGCAATACAAACATAAACTTCCTCCCCTTTTGCCAGATAAGACGTAGTAAGACAGGATGTCAGCAGCATGCATTTATACTGCAGAAACTGTATGCATATTTGTGGACAGACGCTCAAAATTGGAAAAACATTTTTTTTTGGAATAAGTGTAACAATTTTTACAGACCTTAAAATCTGTAAATTACAATATCTGATTCTATATTCTTTCTAGATAAATGCAGCATTTATTTCGTTCATTTATCACAAAAATTGTAGAAATTACAGCATTTTCAGTAACATTCTTACAATTTTTAATACTTTACAGTGGCGGACATTTAAATTAACTCGAGCCTGCTGCCATTACGGGAATTTAAATGGCCCATCTCTTAAAGATTAATCTGTTTTTCTGATGAATCTCTGTGTGTGTTTCTAGTATGGGTCATTCCATATGAAGTCATCCAGATATGTCGCTTGACAATTTTTAAAAAATATCGTATTTTGTATTCTTATTTCTACATATTTTCATACTTCAAAAATATTTTTAAAAAATCAATCTCCTCAGTTCTCCCAATACAGCCGTTTTTATAATGCAGAAAAACACGTTTTCAGCTGAAGTGGAGGTTTGCATTATTTTCTGTATCTCGATAACTATTGATGCTAGAGACTCCAATAAAAAAAAAACAATTTGTTCCTCATCATATGGACTACAGTTCATGTTATTACAAGGTTTTATTCAACTCACTTCCTCTAGGTCTAATTAAGCTTGAAACTTACCTATCGATTCCAGGAAAAAAACTATTTTTGACCTTCAAAAACCAATGGGAGGAGGAAAGTATCAGATCTGTGGTTTCTACCTTTTGTTGTTGCCTACAGTGGGAATATAATCACGTAGTTTTGAACGCCGTATCTATTTTCCAAAATTTTCCAGGAGCGAGTGTCGATAACATGTCTTTCCGAGAAGTAAGTACAGGCCTTAATCATTTTCAGGCCTGTATTTACTGCTCGGAATGACCAAAGATAAATTTCTCGTCTTTTATACTGAATATAGAACCACTAATACCATTGGATGCATTTAAGCCAATTTTTGATGTGTTGATTTGTTTGGTAAAATTTGAAGTCCACAAAACTTCGCTATTAGTAGAATATCAAAGTTGTAATTTTAACTCCAAGTTACTCTAGAATAGAGCATTATTTGCTATGAATTTCAACATTTTCTGACCTTCCCCACCGGAGGTATGAGATGTTAAAAATGGCCGATTTTGGACCCAGACCAAAGTTTGGAAGCTCCTGGAAATTTTTGGAAAATAGATATCGTTTCAAAACTACTTGATTTTATTCCGCATGTAAACAACAACAAAGGGTAGGAACCACAGATCTGATACTTTCCTCCTCCCATTGATTTTTGAAGGTTAAAAATAGCTTTTTTCCCAAAATCGATGGGTAGGTTTCAAGCTTAATTAGGCCTAGAGGACGTGAGTTGAGTAAAACCTTGTAATAACATGAACTGTAGTCCATATGATGAGGAACGAATTGTTTTTATTGGAGTCTCTAGCATCAATAGTTATTGAGATATAAAAGATATCGCAAACCTCCATTTCAGCCGAAAACACATTTTTTCGCATTATAAAAACGGCTGTACCAGGAGAACCAGCAGATTGACATTTTTTAAAAATACTTTTGAAGTATGAAAATTTGTAGAAATAAGTATACAAAATATATATTTTTTTTAAATGGTCAAGCGACCTATCTGAATGACTTCACATGGAATGACCCGTATGTGTTGCAGCTTTATCTTATGCGTGTAACCTGTGGTATTTGTAAGGTCTTCATTAAGTTCAGAACCATGTAATGTGATAGGACTGAAGATTCTTTAAATGCAATGCTGCACAAGTGATATTTACCAGACCATATTTCATGTAAATCCTAAAGGGTTCTGATGATGGTGTATAATCTGGTATGCTAAAAAATGCAGTGTTTCGGAAACAGATCCAGTTTCTGAAACACTGTGTTCTTTAGAATACCAAATGTTGGACAGAGTCCAAAAACCCAGTAATCTTGAGTAAATGTTAGGTACCATTTTTATTCTTGGTGTCATGCAAGTCACATGATTGCAAGAAAGTAAGAGTTTAGTTTTTTTTTTTTTAACTTTGTTTACTCTTGCAGGTTGGACTTGAATGCAGCTGAATCAGGGGTCCAGCACAAGCCTTCACAACCTGGCCGGAATACGCTGGTCAATGACCAACAAGCTAACAGAGATAGCTGTGCCTGCTAGGTAGGTTCAGATGTTGTATTCCTATTGCACTAACTCTTTGACACTGAATTGTAAAGGTTTTTGCCACAGGAATGAAAATTTCTTACATCTTTTGAGAGTCATTTCAGTCTGTTATGCCTCTCCATAACTCTTTCCATTTTTATATTATCTTTGCTTTTCGTTTTTATTGTTTCTCGTAATAGTTACGTGCAGTAACAGAACAGTAACCTCTGTATAATCATGTTAACTGCTCTTTAAGGGTACGAATAATATGGTACTTCAGTATATAAGTTGATCATGCTAAAGACCATGTTAAAAAGAAAGAATTTTCATTTCATTTCTCCTGTTGTGTTATTATATACAACTCTTTATTAAGTTCGTAACAACACAACAATGCAGTGTTCAAGGCTAAATTAGCTTTGTTGCATGTTTCAGCTATTCATAGCCAACATTAGGCAAATACATGATCATCATGTTTACACACTAGTGAACTGCAATTGCATAGCAAGTCTGGATACTTGACAGTTATCATATTATAAAACACATGGTATAAAAATTACAATGAAATATAAACTTATTATAAAACAAGAGTTATTTTGTAAGATAAGGTTAAAACTATTCAAGTGATGATCTATATCACAGAGTCAGTTGTTGCAATCTTGTATTTTCCCATGGACGTGGTATATTCTAGACTTTTATATGATAATCTGTTTGGAGGCCCGTGAAGCATAGTTTTAACATTAATTGTTTGGTTGGTACCTCATTGTACAATGTATTTATGTCCGTTTTGTAGGGAATACAGAGATAATATACATTATCACTTGAATAGTTTTAACCTTATCTTACAAAATAACTCTTGTTTTATAAAAAGTTTATATTTCATTGTAATTTTTATACCATGTGTTTTATAATATGATAATTGTCTAGTATTCAGACTTACTACGGAATTGCAGTTCACTAGTGTGTAAACATGATGATCGTGTATTTGCCTGATGATGGCTATGAATAGCTGAAACACGTAGTAAAGCTAATTTAGCCTTGAAAACTGAATTGTGTTGTGACAGACTTAATAAAGAGTCATAAAAAATAGGAAGATCACTTTGGTTTGAAATAAGTGGTGGAGTGAGAAAAGGAAGTGTCGTCTCACCAGTCTTGTTTAATGCTATGACGAATGAGATTGCTCATAAGTTAGAGGAGAAAACAAGAGACTAAACATGAGAACACTAATATTTGCAGGCGATCTGTTTTCAATGTTTCCTTCTAGTCATACACAACACTACCACAAAGAACTGTCTCCTCTCCTAAGACGTCACATGTAACATTCTATGCTTTATTTAATCTCTAACAGTAGCAGACCTTCTTAAAGGGCAACCGGGAATAAACTGTACAAATTGGAACTATACGCAAAAGAACCTAATAACATCTATCAACAAAAACGAAAAGTAATTTCTTCGGTGGCCATTCTGTGACTACATATTTTCTGTCGGTGCAGTCAGTACATTAAATTAGTTACACATGCTTGAGAGTCACTCTTCGGTTTTCCACCACTGATCCTTTTGTGGTAATGTGCCATTTTGTTTTCCAAATGATGTTACAAGTTCTCATAATTTTTTTTCTCTTATCCCAACCTTCATCTGAAAGAAAATTTCAGAAGTTACTTTTCCATGGCCAAGGAATCTAAAATGCAGGAATGACTGTATCAGAAAAGGCTGTTAAAGGTGGCACTTAGTTTATGGATTTAAACTCAGAACACTCTCATTTGTAGATATTAAATTGTAATTAATAGTAATAAATTGATATACTTTCATTGTATTAAGTATTGTAATGAATTCTCCATTGCTGTTTCTGTTTCACAGCACGGAAGACCACAAACCGAATAGTCACTGCTGTGAAAATCTGAACACTTACAAATGTACTTCTAACTAAATGTAAAATTAGGATGAAATGTGCTTACTCCAAAGTCATTGATAACCACTTCACTGGAAATATTGCATCACAAAAATATTATTTGCATCTGTGTAGGGGTAATAGTCAATATCCAGAAAGTTAAAAGAACTTATTGTGCAATATCCAGAAGTACTTGAAACATTTTCTGTCATCCCTCAGATCATTAGAAAATTATTGCATCTTCAATATTCATTCTGTTTTGTGCAAAGATTGTGCACCCAAAATTGGAGCCATGTACTCCAATTCACAGCATGCAAAAGCAATTGCAGCAGCTTCTTTCTCTGCCTGTTGTCAGTCTGAATGGGCTTGAAGCAAAGCACAGTCAGTCACCTAAGCTGAACTGGACTGAACTGAATGGAGCTGAAATGAGCAGATCAGACTCACTGTGTGCCCTCCTTTATAGTTTATAAACATTGTTAATCATGTACAACTAATTTTACTGCTTAATATTGTTGGAACTTCAAGTGACAAATGAATAATTGAAGTCAGGGATCCTGTTTTTAATTGATTTGATTGTATCTTCCTTGTTTTATGATCAGGTAGGTACCATCAGGTACATGACAAGTAGCAGACAAAAGCACATTCTACAGTAAATTTTGCATCAGTATGGATATATTCTGAATTTCACTATTTGTATCTGTATGATAAGATGAAGTGTGTTTAATAACATACATATGAACTTTCTTTAATGAGCAGTGTACAGTGCTTTCTGTATTAAGAAATGTTTGTTTCATTTTATATTTTCCTGTTTTATATCTTATTTAGGAAAACTTAAATTTATTGTAATTGTTTTAGTTTTGTCAGTATCACTTGTAAATGTTATGTTCATCATGTTGGATAGGGTTCATCAATGAAGAGGTGCTGCATCACCGTTTTGTATTGATATCTGCAAGTTGCTCCTGAAGCATCAGTGAGTGATCAGTTACAAGTATAACTTTCTTTGTGATATGATTAACGTCCTATTTGTCGGTTTTGTAACTGATGGTTTGGACAAGATCAAATGCCTCTTATGCATGAAGGCATATTTCAAGAATTCCAACGTGGGTCGGTTTGCAGTCTCTCACGAGACACCTTGCTTCGTGTATCTGCTTTGGGCAACACGTTTTTTGAGTAGCAAACAGAAAGGGTGTGAATGAACATGGCTTAAGAGAATTTTGATCATTGAGGGCAATATTTTCTTTTCTTGATCATTTGAAGTTTCCCCTGGCAGGAGTGGAGCTTGCAGGTGTGACTTTACTTCATACTACATTTTACATCTACTACAAATTTAAGCATATTGTATTTGTTTTGGTTGAGATTGCTTTGGTACTGACTCAGTGTAGATAAGAGAATTTGAACACATTTCCATGTTGCTTCAAGTTTTGTTACATATTGTTACACTAATGCACTCTTATATGTAGCTGTCACTCTTGTTGGGCTTTCAGTGGGTGAGGTTTTTAGTTGAGTTACAGGAAGATATTTGCTGCTGCAATGTCTCTTTGAATATCCTGAATGTATTGCTCAGAGATGCTTTGAAATTAGGTAACAATATAACATGATCTTTAAACTGTATTCTGTAAATCATACAAATACCGTAAATTACCACATTTTCTCATTCACAAAATCAGTCTTCATTTTTCATTAAAAAAGAAAGAGAAATTATTCTAAAACTTACTGACTCTGGACAGTTTGTGTCTAATGTGTTTTCCACAGAGGTTATATTATATAAGACCACAGTAGAATCCCTTCTGAAACACATTCTTTTGTTTTCTATAACTATTAAGGTCACGAAATGGAATTTAAGACTTATAACTTTGTGAATGTCTTGTACATTTGAGGGCATACCTTTCAGGCATTCTTACTTAATTGGAAATTAAAACTCCTAATGATTACACTGAATAACTATTACAGTAATCAACTCTTGAATAGATTGTTGGGGTGTCTTTCTTTTCTGTTTTTTTTTTATGAAGTTGAAATGAATATATCATCTTTCCATGAAGCACTGCATAACATTATTCCACTAGAATATTCTGAGTGTAAACATCATTAAGTAGCTGAATAGTGTGCAGCAATGTGTGAGGTATGTGTGCATGTTTGTGTGTGCCTCTGTGCAGTTAGGACCTAAAACACATAATCTATGTTAAGATATGACCAAACTTTATGAAAGCCATGTATATTCACTTTGTTACATAAGCTGATCATGTCATGCTGGTAATACATGTAATGACAAAGTAGAGCTCATTAGACCCTGGACTTTTATGTCACACAAATAATTTCCAGATGATTTCTACTTAGCAAAATACCTTAAAGTAATAGTACTTCTCAGTGTATGTAACAACTTGGAATTGACTATTTTATTACCTAAATTCATGTTAATCACCATGCATTTTAAACCAAGCCTAATAATGAAATTTTTTCTGAAATATAATGCATATGTTTGGCAGGTATAAAATATTGTATGTATGGTCTTTGTAATATATTATTAAATTATTAAATAATTGAAATAGTCACTGAGAAACCATGTAAGAGGATATTAAGGTAAGTCTATATTATAATAGCATTGAACTATATACTGTGTTATGCAGGAAATTGGAATGTTTCATAATGTAACTAAATATTTGTCAACACTGGATGATTGTAAAATGTTATGCTTTTACATCTGGAGAGTTAGCTTCAACTTGTGAAATCATGTCATGTTGACCAACACTAGAGAGATGCTCCTATTCAACATAAGTAAGCTTTCCTTTGTCTTTATGTTGGTTGTATTACTTGATGTACAGTCTTGGAATATTTATGTCTTTGAAGAGAATCTCATATTCAGTTTCTGTTATTATTAGATTGTGACCATTTCTTAAAGAGGTGCATTTAATGGCTGAAGGAGTATTTCTACAGAAATTCAGAGATTTCCAAAAAGGACTGCACCTGATTTGACTATTTTATCTATTATTAATACACATAATATGTAAATTATTATGTAGGCAGACTTTAAAATGTTCTATCCAGTACTAGAACCAGGATTGGATATTATAAAGGGACATAATAGAAAAGATTCCAGTTTGTCCTAAGTATTTGAGGTTCATGAATGGGGAAGTATACAATGAAAATAATCCATTTAATAGGACTAGTGGTCATGATTATTGTCATAGCTCCCACAATAAAATTTGCTGTATTCCCATGTTGTAGCATATGTGCTGGTCACTTTGTCTCCCCTCCCCTCCCAAAGAAATTGTATCACTCTGAATAAAATAACATTCCAATAAAGTGAAGAATATAATTTCTTTCCCAACATCTGTAAAGTAATCTGACTGTAGGTTATTAGCTCACAGTTCATGGTATATTGTTACAAGTTATACCTTCCGCATGTGTACAGTAGAGAAGCAGTATAATGGATTTTGAGCATGCAGGTGCAGTGTGTAGAATTTTAACCAGCAGCAAGTTCGGTTTACGTTTACTAATATCGTGATGTAAATATGTAAGTAACTTTATGAAGCAGGGTCCTTCAGAAACTGAATAGTCGTACAGCTCATAAAGAAATTTACTGACTTAGGGTACACAATTACAGTATCAAACAACAGAGATATAGAAATAAAAAGTGAATAGATTTAATCAGATGTGAAGCACAGTATGAAGAACATTGAATAACAAGAGATATAAAGTTATATAAAGGTATGGCAGTACCTACATTTACATGCAGAGCTGAGATTTAGACTAACAAAAAAACAGGAAGCAAACATTGAAACTGCCAAAATGAAATTCTTTAGGAGTGTATATCAGGAAAGACCAAATAAGAATACAAAACTTAGGGAGAGCTGAATATCTTTAAACTAAATGTTAGAATTTCAATATCCAGATCGCAGTGGAAACATCGTGTGCAGTGATTGGAAGACAGATGACTTCTGAAGAAAATTCTAACATAAAACCCAAAAAGAAAATGAAACATAGGATGCCCACAGTTAAGACGGAGAGATCAGCATACTCAAGAGAATGGAACAGACCGTGTATGGCCTAATCCATGAAGAAGAAGAAGATGATGACTGTTCACAAGAGTGCACCATGGGACCTTATCCTGAACGAGATGAATCATGTACTAAAATATTTTTCATTTTCCATTGCTTAGGCAGTTCCAAAGAATTCTCTCAAATGTGGAGTCCTATGTAACATTTTGTAACATTGTTAATTGTATGGTGAGCAGTTATTAGGTTTCTGACCAGTGTCCCTACTGGAGGACTGCCCCATCAACTTTCCATGACTGCTTATTCATTGTCTCAGCTACCTGTGATATATGGAGGCCATGTCTGCCCACAACCGGAGAATGTGAAATGTTGACAGAGATATACTTAACATGGAATATATGTACAGTGCATGCAGATGAGGTGGAAACACGATGCTTGTAACAGAAGTAGTATACTGTCACGTTTTAGGTGTGTGACTATAGATGGGTTGTGGATTGGATATTGGCTTTATTGACCACTTGTACACACCTCTTGGAACTACAAGTAATTACTGTGCCACTGCTAGTCTCCACACTTCACAGTTCACCACAGCACTCACTCAGCCTTTTTCGAGCCTGCTGTGTCTTCAACAGCTGATCCCTAGCAATGGCTTCCAACAGTGGAGATTGTTCAGCTTCCTGTGCTCATGTTGTTACTGTCCGGCGAATGTTCCGCAACTGAACTGTCTTGCTCACTAGCTAACTACTTCAGTTCACTCAAATGAACTGGCCAACTTAATTGTCTTCATGATAACTCCTCGACATGGACCACATTGGAGAAACCACTCTTCTGTTGTGCACATTTTCGTTTCTGCAGGAATTTGTTCACTCAGACGTTGCTTAGAAACGGGTTTCATAAGCTTACTCTTCTGTTGTTTCATGTGTTGCCTAGCAACGGTTGCTGTTTACAGAGTTACCTCCTAGCAATGGGTGTATACGCCACAATACTGTGTAACTGTAGAGGGGACAGGATAGGAGGTTTCTGTTCCTGTTGTTTAAAGGCAGAAGGGGCAAATTCTAATAGTTCTTATAAAATATGGTAAGTAGGATTTGATGTTCTCACAGGAATGGTTATGAAGAGTCCTGAGGTATAATTCTGTGTGGTCTGTTTCAATGGACTTGACTATGCAGTATTGTACCCCAGAAGCAGAAGAAGTCGGCACTACAGACACAGAAAAAGCATGCGTTATTTCCTCTGCAGTCAGGTAGCAAACTATTGTCATGCTGCGACAACCAGTGTTCTCCCATATCAGTAGTAGTAAGTATGATGAGAATGACGATAACAACAGTGATAATTTACCATTCTTATCTTGTTTAAAGCTAGTCCTAAACCTTTTTTATTTATGTTTGGTTTTACCTGTGTGTAAGTTATGTTGTAAAGAAGAGTTTTGTCTTTTGGGATGTAACCTTTTATGAAAGGTAAGCTATCCCTGGTCATGGAGGCTCCCACGTTTTCTATACAGTCAGCTCACAGATGGCGGTGAGAAGGTCAACCTTACGTGCTGGCCGCCCTTCACACCCAAAAATATTCCTGGTACTCATTTCTGTTAGAGACTGAGTCGACCTTAGGACCATAGTGTGGCTGGAGGGATTAGGTCAGTCCATTGAAAGCTAACCGATGTTTCAGAGAAACGTGTCACCTCTGTCTTCAGGGTTGAAAAATAAGCCAAGCAGGTAGCAAACAGAGCTAACATGTTCCTCTGAAATGTAAGTTAACTTCCAATGGCCTATGTGGCATCATATCCCAAAAGATTGAACTCTTCATAATCACTACTGTGAGAACCTGAAATCCTACACAGTTATGCCGCAGTCTGTAGATGCCAGAAAGAGAACGCTGCCACATTAACTTTGAGCTATGCTGTACTCAGCTGGCTCATGAATTTTGCATCCTGGCATTCTGCCATTCCTTAACCCCATCCCCACCGGCATTATGCTGACATATTTACTTTTATTTCTACCTATGTAGACCACGTGACCTTCCCTCTCCTGATCCTCCTGATGTCTCGGAAGGAAGTATATGTGTTTAGGAACTGAAATTCTGTTTCGGTCTTTCTATGTCTACACTAATTACATAAGAGAATTGAAAAATAAATTTCAAAAGGCTCATTAAACGGAAAGGGAAATCTTTATCAAAGGCAAAGCTTACAGAAAGGGACAATAGGATAAGAGGTCTGAAGAATTCCAATTACAGGTAGGAGATAAGGCCTTGCTGTACGATGAATCAGCAAGCGCGAAGGTACACCAAAGAAACTAGCAACCGCAACAAAACCTCAATTTCCGAGAAATGTCGCCGATTTCAAGCGGGCAACTGGTTTCCAGATTAGCAGGAGCACACTGAGGAAATTTATGTCTGATTAGTTGCTCACATAATCTTAAGTGGGCATGTTCGTCCGACGTAATGCATGATTGTATTTTTTTATAATTTCATGCATTTACCTTCTACAATGGAAGATAATAATACTGATCCTGTCATAATATGGTAGCTGAGACGGAGTGAAAATAGAGGACGACGATCGTAAGGAAAATATTGGTATGTTAATTAAGGTTAATTTATCTTAATCAGGAAATATCGCATTCCCACGCGACACGAAATTTTGACATACAATGATACCATTTTAGCAAGATAGAAGACACTTATGATGGGCCGGCCGTATATAGCCAAACCATGTAATGTGGAAGAAGGGTGACTATATAATAAGTTTTATTTAACCGATATATATGTAAATAAATGATATAATAATGCAACAGGATGCTTAAATATAATATTATGAAAAGAAAACATTGGCTGCATCCGTTCTTCCGTAACGGTTTAAACTGAGGCGCTTATTTTCGAAAGAAGTTGGCCTGGATCCATAATCCTTCAACGCATGAGAAATTTCCCAAAGCCAAATACATTTATAAGCCAAGTCATATTTTGTCCTGCCTAGCATAGTCTCGGTGGCTTTTGTCATATGTACCAGGCTCTTGCTCGGTTAACTGCACAAAACCAAAATTAGGTATTACTGTTGATTCCCTGTCTTGGGAAAACCATATTCATGGTCTCAAGGTAAAATTATGTAAAGCCTCCTACACAGTTATGACACTTAAACCCTTTGTATCACTGGAATCCTTGAGGATGATATACTTTCCTTACTTTCACAGCATTATGATGTACAGGTTAATTTTCTGGGGGACCTCTTCTTATAGTGGCAGTATATTTAGACTGCAAAAAAGGGTAATAAGAATTATCACTAATTCAAGGAAGAAAGACTCATGTAGAGAACTGTTTAAGTATTCGGACATATTACCATTATATTCCCAATTCATATTTTCATTATTAACTTTTGTATCAAATAATAGAGAGTTATTTAAAACTAACACAGATTTGCATAGTATAAATACCAGAAGCAAAAATAATTTTCATTTCCCACAACCAAGATTTTCTATCTATCAAAGAGGTGTTTTATTACATGGGCATTAAGATTTTAATTAGTTTCCATCCCATTTGAAAGGCATCATAGACAAGAAGAAACTGTTTAAATCTTTATTAAAACGGTACTTGCTAGAAAATTTCTTTTACTCATTGCAGGAGTTTTTTAACAATAAATAAAATGGAATATTCTATTCTCTTTGGTATTTGTGATACTATCTACTTATCACAGTCATTGTAAGTAATTCTATTTTGCCTCTTCATACTTTTATTTTAAATTTTAGGTTTTTATTAAACTAATTAGAAAGGACCGGTAATCACTGTTACTAAATGTAAAATGTTTCATAGGGCTCTTGCTGGCTCTTGCTTAATATACTTTTATGCCAATCATATACATTAGTATTTAGTGACTGATTTATTTTCCAATTCACAATGTATTATGTTGAGTTGTTTTGATTTGTAATTGTATGACTGACGCTTTAATATTCAAAGCATGCGTAGTATATTCTTTGAGTATTTGTTGTATTGTATATCTGTGACTGGTTCTATATCAGACTGGCGACATTTGTGGCCTGTTCTTGATTGATAGAATATTACAGTAAACTGAAACCGAAACTGATTAGCAGCTTCATCATCTTTTCGTGCCATCTTAAGAAACAATTGAATTACTGATGCGTATTATACCACAGCTGACACTAGGAAACCATGCGACAACGAAATTATGAGAAGACTGGTATGCTCCGTTGCCTGGAAATTGAGTTCCTCAGTCTTTCCGCGGTCTTTCCGCGAGTCGCGTTGCCGTTTTAACAATTTGCGCTGTTTCCTTCAGGAACGTGTGGTTAACACAGGCTGAAAACAGTTCTCCCACAAACTTTGATTTTGATTTCGGCTAGTAGATGTTCGTGTAATAGAACAGACGGATCTAGCAATAATATTAATATTTTTATTAATCCTTGAGAAAGTGTGTGTGTGTGTGTGTTGATACTATTTATGTATGTGACGTACGGGGTACAAGGGAGACGAGACGTAATGAGCTTGACAAGTATTAGCTGATAATTTTACATGCGATATCCATCTGTGTCTTGAGGTGAAGTATGAGCATAATGAAATATTTACTAAGCATTTTAAGTGATCTGTAAAACTATGTACTGTAGGTTATTTGCAGATGTATACAAAGGCCGCTAAGCAGACTGCCGAATTCCTCGTGAAGAGACGTCATATCCTGAATATTACGTCACAAAGCGCTCAATTCGAATTTATTGAACATCACATACACAATGACACTTACGTTGAATCCCAACGTGGAAAGGAAGAGAGAAAGATGCCAAAAGTGACGGACACTCAACAGGCGGAACAGAGAAGAAAGTTCTGGGAGCAGGAGGAAGAGTTTGAGTCTCAGGTAGATTATAGCAGGCTGAGTGGAGCTGAACAATTAATTCATTTGACCCACGCAGAAGCTGTCAGAAAGGGCCACTTTACCTATGATGACCCAGAGAATGGAGAGAGAGTGTTCACCCGACTCCGACACTTTCTTAAAGGTTCATGTTGTGGAAGTGCATGCAGACATGTAAGTGATTAACAGTGTACTACAGATATTACCAAAATATTGCAAGACATTTGAATGGTGCTAATTACATTTCCCTATGGTTTCACTTGGTTGCTTGCTTGTTTTCCTAGAGAGTAAATAAAATAGTTATTTGAGCCTTAAATGCTATACCCTTAAAAACTAAATATTCCTGTTTGAAAATTTACATTTAATTTTCCAGTGGGCATGCCAAAAACAAAAAGTTTGTTTGCTTCAAGGTGTAAATCTTCCTATCCTTCCCTTCTTTGCAGCTCTTCAATACTCTTATAAGATTATACTAGTAACCACTGTCATACAGAACTCCCAGCATATTGCATGTGGATTAATATTTCCATCTTTGTCTCTCTCAGATCTTCTACATTCACTCCCATATTTTTTTTTGGATGATATTGTCACATGTAGGGTGATAAGCATGATCAAAATAATGGGTTCTAGTTTAGATGACAGGATTTATTAGCACTTCAGTTACAAGTTCTCTTAGTCACACTCAGTACAGCAGTTTTGTCACCCAGTAATTTTAATACCTGATGATGACCACATTGGTCAAAATATGTAGTGATAAACTTCTGAAGTGAGTGTCTTTTAATAAATTTTATAGAACATAATGTTGCATGTGAGACTGTAAAAATTAATTGACACAATGTGAAATAAATTGAAGCATGTTTGGTTTGTTTTCTCACACTAAAGAAGGTGGTATGGGCATAGGCAGCAGCCTCCGTAGTCTAGGGGTAACGTTCCCACCTCATGACTCAAGGTACGTGGGTTGAAACCCGGCGGAGGTCATGGAATTTTTAAGGGCGGAAAAATTCAGGGAACAAGTCCTCCGGGAGGGACTTTAAGCCGTGGGTCCCATGTCGTAGATTTACGGCATGTAAAAGATCCTCATATCTCTAGGAGAACCCCGAGCAAACTTAATTAGGCAACAATTTCCTGCCCAAGTAGTTTCCAACGCCTCTGGTAGGTGGGGGAAATATCAGGTACTGACAGCCGACGCACCAGTACCGGTAGGGTATGGGGACAGAAATTAAAGGGGGACGCACAATGGACCAATAACTGGTCTAAGTGCATGGGGAAACCCACCCCCTCTAATAATAATAATAATAATAATAATAATAATAATAATAATAATGGGCATAGGCAATAAAGTGCATACCACTTATTGCAAGAAATACCTGTGGGTGGCCAATAGTTATATTATAATTACATGTTGAACACAGCTGCAATAAATGCAGTTGTCATATACTTAATCAAAACAGTGTTGGATATTTGGAACTCTTATGCAAGAACAGATAGAACAGTGTCCTGCTTCCCACATTCCTCAAGATATAAGTGGAACATGACAGCAGTAACAGGAAAATTGATGAAGTCTTCTGCAATACATGAGAAAATAAGATGTGAGAGGAAGACAGAAAATTTCAATATTACTTCAAGAAGAGCATCATGTATTTATGCTTGGAGCATGCAACCATTCCAAATTACTTCCGTTCATTTGGCTTAGTTCAGCAGTTAAGCTTGCTTCCTTTCATCTAATAATTTTAGTATTCCCTATGATATGTTCTGAAGGACTATTGATTATTTCTAAGTTTTCCAAAGCTGCATATCAGTTTGAGTTTTTAATCTGATATTGTTCTTTAATTTTCACGTTGTTTAGCTCTTAGGATTGAAACTTTCCCTAATTTTGCAAACACTAAACAGTGAGCATTTTCACAGTCAGCTCCTCTGAAAGACTGGATTTCTATACTTAAGTGCTGTCCCTGTCTATTAAGATGTGCTCAGCTCAGTGTGTCTTTCCATCAGGAATATTGTAGTGTGGGAACATTATACTCTCAGCAATTAAGAGTTTTAGATGTGGTAAAGTTTAATACTTGGAAGCTTCATTATCATTACTTGTTTCATGTAAATGCTCATTCCAAATTCTAGCTTTCAAAATTTGTTCTCTGCCAAATTTGCATTGATATCACATGACAAAATATTCATGTGATAGTTTGTCAGTTCATCAACTGTACTTTCTAGTTCCTCATGAAAGCTGTCCTTTATGCTTTCAGAACAATATCACACCAGCAGTCTGCTAGTTTTGTACAACATCCTCTCATTGACTGACTGCCTTCTCAGCTGCTGATATGATTTCCTCATGTACTACAAATCCTGTCCCTAATTGATACCTGTCATTTCCACTTTCATGTAAGGTAAGGTAATGTAACATTATCCTTGTTCTTAATTAATTAAGCACTATGCCATGTAGACATATGGGGGTGTGGTGGTATAGCTCTTCCATTCTTGACCTGGACATTTGATGAGGTGAGTTGAGTGGTCAGCTTCACCTCTCAGCCGCTTTAACCCAGGGAAAGAACTCCTAGTACCCCTTCCCACTTTCATATAAAAATGCATAAGTGTCTGCTAGTTCATTGTCACCCTTGTGCCATCTGACCTCTACTCCCACTAAATCTAACTTACACTCTACTAATTCTTTCCCTACAGCTTTCAATGAACATTTCCTATTAGAGACTCCTGACATCCAAAGTCCCAAATCTTGTGTAACATTTTGTAACATGCTGATTTTTTATAGTGAGGTGCTATTAATCCCTTGCCTACCCCCAAAGCTAGAGGACTATCCCTTGTCAGCTGTCCACAACTGTTTTTCAGTATATTCACAGCTTCTGTGCATATCTGGAGGCCATATGCTGCATCTGCAACCTGAAGATGTACCATGCCATATCACAATGGATCCACTTAACACAGAAACATACTGCAATGAGATCTTTAAACATGCATAATAAAAACGTACATTGAAATGTGAAACTAAAAGAGATAATTGTTTTGGGAGGAAAAGCTCCCAGAAATATAAAATCACATAAAATATTTAGTGTAACTTCAACAGACACAAGCTTATTTCACCATTCAGACAAAAATTTTACTCACCAGATATTTCTCTACAAGAGAACAAGCCATAACTGCTCTGCACCAGCCTACTCACCATCACATCACATACAAGTCATAAAATACTGCCCCTTAGATTATGCAATGTCTTCATTATTGTCAGCCAATAATCTGATATAGTTACATTTCATATTTTAGTTATTTTATCTGATATGGAATTCAGTCAAAACCATAAAGAGTTTTCAGAACCTAAAATATGAGACAGAGGCACAGACCTGATGTGCTTAGAAAACACCCAAAATCCATGCACAGTAGAATTACAGTAGAACCCCCATTTTATGTTCCCAAATTTAAGATTTTCCCTCATTTAATCTCAAATTTCAGTGAATTCAATGAATAATCTAGCTGTTAAATTATGTCCATTCCTTCAATTTAGTGTTCAAATCCATTGCTTCCAAAAGAAACGTTAAATTGGTGTCTCAGGATGTTCGGCAAATTTTCTAAACTATGAATTACAAAGAGTCATAGGATGTTCCTGCAGTCATACATATAGGGTTTTAGCACTCTTAATAGCCCAAAACTCCATTTGATGTTTTTCTAGTAACCGTTCTTTCTTATTTCCAGTGTATCTACAATCATATAAAAGTCCCAGAAATTAAAAAGAGAGTATGTATATTCAACACTGCATACTGGATATATGGTGAGAATATGGAAGTCACTGCTGATGTGACCGAAAGCTTTAACAAAGTAAAACCACTGATAAGAAAGAAGCAAGCTACAACCCAGAAGTTAACAATTGAAATAACCCCCACTAGTCCCAACAGATAATTAACGTCAAACATACTGTGTTTAGTGTACTTTCTGAAAATAGTGGACATGGGAAATTTTCTGCACTCTCACCATTACCAAACTAAGTGATCAACAAGTTCATTGAGGAGGTCTGAGTGAAGGAAATATGGAAACATCATAAAGTAAAATGTGTCTGTTTTCTGAGACAGTTGAGATGTCCTTCAGAAATTGAATCTCATGACATGCATGGTCAACATGCAGCTCAACTAAGGTTCTTCATGGTTTTCATGTCCTCCCTGTGAATACTATAAATGTACCTGGATATAGGACACAACAGCTTTCTTCCACATCTCTCCAAATGTACCATTCTTAATGTTACTCAAAATCCAATAGCCCCTGTAGACGATACAGTCATTTAGTAATCTGTTACCATATTTCTGTTTTGGACAAGGGGACTTGCCATTACATTTTCTATATGGAGAAAAAACTTTTTTTTTTTCATATAAAAACCAGTGACATGAGAATGGCATCTGGTCTGGTAAAATATGCATGGAGAATGGTGGTAATGAAATCTTAAATTAAAAATGGTGTATCTTATTCAACTAAGAATGTAGTAGAAGATAAATCTGTATAGCCTCAGAATGTGGCCCTTGTAACTGTAGGAGATAAAATGCAAGGAAGAATAAATAGGATATGAACCTTGCTTGCTTAGAGCTGATGTAAATAAAATAATTAAGTTTATTTGTTTGTCTACTCATTACCCTTTTAGCACCAGCCTCAAATACATTCCTATGTATCTAGCATGTCTGCTGAGCTAATCCAGATATACTCATTTCAAGTTCTATTTTTTTCTTCACCCCAACACTGCTCTAACATTTGAACATTCATTCAAATAGTGTAAGTTGAAGAAACAACGAACTCTGGATGATACGCAGCAATGGAGACAGGTAGTGCAGATAATTAAATACAACAAGTAATCCAAAAATCTAGGAGTATGCACTATTCATGCTGCATTCAACTTTGAAAATCACAGCTTATTATTACTGGTCTGTTGCTTATCATGAAATAGAGGGACGGTTATCTTTTCAACAGAAGAAGGCAACCATTTTTCAGTGCTAGTAGGGCAGTGAAGACGGCCTCAGTGGTCAAAGAAAAAAAAAATTGCAGTGGTGAGAAGGTAGAGTCTACTGCAAATCAGTGTAAAGCATCAGTAATACTTACTGAAACAGATGTAATGGGCAGACTTAATTAGCTAATGGGTTCTAAACGTCCTGTCATTAATCACACTCAAATAAATGAGTTTACTGCATAGTAAACTTTTTTTTTGTGGAAAAATTAAGAGAATGATGAGAAAATCAAATAATACAGAACCTGAAATATTGATATTATGGTCTGGGTTATGATGCTATATGGTAGTCTGAAAACTGGGTACCAGTGTTTCAGAGAAACATACTGTCTTCATCTTCAGGGTATATGGAAGGTACAGGAAAATATTTGTCCAAAACACTGATATCCTCTTACCAGACCACAACATTGTCATAATGCAGAAGGCTATGGTATCAGTCTTTACTGCCATGAAAATCTCAAATCTGAAATACTGAATCCAGTATTATCAAAAGAAATGTCAGTGGGTGGGTGAAAAAGTTAACAATCTTCCACCCACCATAAATGCAAAACCTTTCCTCCGTGCTGATACTGATAATCTATGAACCTGATTAAAAGAAATGTAAATAATCAGACAATATCTCTATTTAAGATTTGAGGCTTTCACGGCGGTGACTATGAAGAAAGCAGTCTTCTGGGATTTGGCACTGTGTATATGTGGTGTTAACCGACATTTCGGAGGAACGTATCGCCTCCGAAACGTCAGTTAACACCACATATACACGGTGCCAAATCCCAGAAGACTGCTTTCTTCAATATCTCTATTCTCATGAACAAATGATTTATAGTGAATAAAATCACTTTAATCGATTTTGGAACTACCAAAATATCCCTTAACATTTGTAACCAGTAACACTGATATATCATTGCCAGGAAAATACCTCCTGTAACTTACAGTAGGAGTAATAAGCACATTTCAAATTTAATCCTTGCTTATGGGCCAAAAATAATATATTGTATTACATCCACAAATCTGTAGACTGGAATTTTCAGGTGAATTGTTTAAGAATGGGATCAGTTTTATTTATTTATTTTTTCCCCACTAAGCATCATGTGGGAGCTGCTGATTATACAGGAACTACAAGATGTAAAATCATGGGGAAAATCTGACTCAGTAAATTACTTTAGTTGTTGCAAATGTCTGAATTTTTATGTTATGGGAAATGCGAGCATATACTGATTGTCCAAGCCACTGAAGGGGCTCATACATTTTCTTTTAACAAGTTCGTTTCATGTGCGACTGTAGTTAGTTCAAAATATAGGGTCAGTCAAGAAAGATGCTCCAGTTCAAATAAAAAGCTTGATGCAAATAAATATTTTATCAATAATTTGTATCATAAGCTTACAATAATGTGTTGCCAGCAGTGGTTACTTCCTGAATTGCTGTATAATGAGAATATTTTACTGTATTGGTAGTGTGGTTCGAGTGCAACATTATTTTTTTCATAAGAAAGTCACTTGCAATATGATTTACAGATGAGGGTCATTTTGACCTCCATATTTATGTTAACAAGAGGAATGCTGAAATATTGGCCATAGAATATCACAACACATAAATGGAGGTGCCATTATACCAGCAGAGAAGCACGTATGGTTTGTTGTTTCTGCCATAGGAATTTTTGGTCGAGCTGTCCTCACTCATACAGTGATATGTGAACATTATTTGGAGATCGTTTAAGAAGACTTTCCTCTCTTTTCTTCAAGTCATGGGTGTTAAGTTTGAGGATATCTTCTTCCAACAGACTGGGGCTTATACCATTATGTCAAGTGCTGTTTTGGATGCCTTCAGTGAATATTTTGGTGATCGTGTTGTCTTGGATCACTTCCCTGAATGTTTGGCTATGGTGTTGGCCACCATGATCCCCAAAATCTCAAACCTTGTAATTACTTTTTATGGGGGTATCTAAAAGATAAGTAGAAAGGTTACCAATTTTCAACATTGACTGCAAATTGCCTTGGATGATGATGGTTCACATACTGAACATGTTTTACATTGACATTGTTTCCCAAGTCTGTCATGCTTATCTAGTGACTGAGGTTAGCTATTTCTAATGGACCCAATAGAGTGGGTTCCACCCACCCTTTCGCCTAAGGACAGAAAAAGACCAGTTTATGAAACTGTGTTCTTTACAATACCAAATGTTGAAGTCCAAAGACAGTAATCCAAAAGAGCCATCATCGATCACAGTTTCCTTCCCGATGATATGGTCCATTTACTTGGATTTGGTGGAGAGGATGCTGGTGACCTGGAGCTGGATAGAGTGTCTCAAATTGATGGCATGCTCCACCACAGCTGATTTGCCTGAAGTTCAAGATCAATGTGCCAATGGTGCACCTACATTCTGGTGTCAATTGAACAGCCTGTCTGGCCAGTGTAGGCCTGACCACACCCACAGAGATAGTGTCAGTGCCCTCCATGTCCTCGATCCAAGGCTGTCCTTGACTGGTTGAAGGAAACAGAGATATTCTTTGGCAGGGGGCCAACTAATTTGATGTGCAAGGATAGCACACTACTATTGCCGTTAAAGGACCCTTTCCTGCCCTAGGTCACCAAGGCAGGAGAGTTACTGAATTTTGCTTTTCTTTGGGTGAAGCAAGCCTTGCAGAAGGGTTGAGACCCCTGCAAATTTGATGATCACTGTAGCTGTTCTGCCTGAAAATGTCCTTCAGAATCTCCAGCTTGGCCAGTTCATTGCAGAGAACTCTAGCCCTTTGCACCAGTGGGGAAAGTATGGCATGCTTGGATAGATTGTGATGAGAGCCAGAAGCCATGGCCACTGCAGTGACAAACTTCAGATCTAATAATTTATACCATGATTTCATGACACAGAGGATGGCTTTCTGAGTTAAAGAACAACAGTCTGTTTCAGTAACTCAATATTGCTTGAAAAGGTACGCAGGTTGCTATTTTGTGATAACAGTTACATTTCCACATATGTTCTCATCAGTCTATGTGGTATGGGCAAAATCATGATATAAAGATAGGAAACAGATGTTTTGAAAATGTGGCACAATTCAGATATTTGGAAACAACGATAACAGATTGAAACCTGATTCAGGAGGAAATTAAGAGAGATTGAACTCAGGTAATGCCTGCTGCCATTCATCCCAGAACCTTTTGTCTTCTTGTCTGCTGTCCAAAAACATAAAAATTTGAATATACAAACTATAATTTTGCCTGTGTTTCTGTATGGGTGTGAAACTTGGTCTTTGACATTAAGGGAGGAACATACACTGAGGGTGTTTGCGAACAGGGTGTTGAGAATATTTGGATAGGAGGTTGGAGAAAACTGCATAATGAGGAGCTTCATAACTTGTACTCTTCTCCAAGTATAATTAGAATGATCAAGTCAAGGAGGATGAGGTGGGCAGGGCATGTAGCACGAATGGGGGAGAAAAGGAATGCATATAGGATATTGGTGGGAAAGCCAGAAGGAAAGAGACCACTGGGAAGACCAAGGTGTAGGTGGGTGGACAATATTAAAATGGATCTTACAGAGATAGGATGGGATGGTATGATTGGATTGATCTGGCTCAGGATAGGGACCAGTGGAGGGCTCTTGTGAACACGGTAATGAACCTTCGGGTTCCATAAAATGCTGGGAAATTCTTGAGTAGGTGCGGAATTGGCGGCTCCTCCAGAAGGGCTCCGCTCCATGAATGATGATGAAATTGATGAAGTATAATATTCTGGAACAGGAATTATGAGTTACGTTGAAGAACTGAATAATGAAACATCGTTGAGGTACCGTTCACAACCTTCACAACAACGTTTTATACCAAACACGATCCTGAACATCCTGAAACATGCATGTTCACAGGCTAATATGTAACAGTTGGCATTATCGGGCAGTCCATTTTATGTTCTTTGGTTGGTGGGCCATACGGATATGGCTCTACTGTCCGTTCCCTGTCCTGCCATGAGCGCCATGAGACCGCAAACATGGTGGTTGCCGAGCGTGTAGATGATTTAGTTCAGTCTGTTAGCCTTCATATTCCTCGACAGTTCCTGTTACATGGTTATATTTTACCATTTCTCACGCTGTATGGAAGCTGGTTGTATGTGTGGTTTTTCATTTATGGAATTGAAGAGTATTATGAAGCAGGACTTATCGGAGTGGCGGTGATTGGCCTTTTACAAATTCTGAGTTGCCTCTGCTGCCACTGGTCTGTACACGTGCAGTGTTTCTTAACATGTAAAAGTGTAAGTTAGAATGTTACATAAAATCATACATCACACGATGCTTATATGTGTATGTGTTTAATCGTTACATGCATTCTAACCTTCGTAGTATGTTTGATGTTTCCCAAATTTCTGTGTGTTTGAGTATGCAATCGTGGCAGCATTTATGAAGAGTATAGTGGCCATTGGGAAGAAATATTTCGGAATGACATATAGACTGAACTTTATTGGAAGTATTTTTGCTCGGTTATATGAATAGCTTGTGCCATGCATCTGCAATTGACAAATAAATACAAACTGATATTGTTTTAAACATTTCTTAACATATTGATGGATTTCATTCAGAGATCATTATGAGCAGATTGATTTTTTGTTTATGTTTTGCTGTCAGCTACATGCTTGGGTTGGATTGTAATCAAACAGTTGAATCACAGTAGTATCTCCAGGTATAGTTTAATTCAGTTTGGTTACCTATGAACTGTCTGAACATGAAGCTACCAGATTTTAACACTGATTGTTAGTAGGTGTGGTTGTAGTCTATGTGTACATATTCTACATCCCATCTGTGCTGTTTTTGGAAATGATCGTGTATTATGTGTCAGATGGCTGCCAAATTGTTAAGTCACCTTAATATTTTCGAAAGGCTCAGCACCCGCTTGAGAGATAAATGTTGAGCAATCTGATACATGACTCCAAAGTGAATATCGTTCATATCTTTAATACAGAAGCACAGATGTGTTTTTGATTTTAGTTGTTTTGAAAACAGCAATACAAATATCCAAGAAAAGGCATGGGAAAAGACTTGGAATGAAGTTTCTGCTTGAGGTAAGTTTTTCATCGTTTAATTATAACATTATGTATATACAGTATTTACTTACTACATATGGTTATGCCAACATGTGAAAATTATGTGAGATTAATAATAAACATTAAAATGTGGAAAACATACTTAAATGGCTTATTTAGCTTTTGAAGACATCATGGAGTGTTTAGTAGGAATGTGAAAATATTTCAGAGATCATGTGATGAATATGATGGTCGTGCATAGTTTGTATTGTGGTCTGGGTACCTCCAAATTCTTGTTTAGTGCTTCCTTTTAAAACCTGAAATGAAGTTGCATTTGACAATGTCTTCTTTCAGAGGCATATGAAATTAGGCAAAACACTAAATGCATGTACAGTAACATATATTTTCTCAACTTTGGGTCACATTATTTGTTTGCAATTAATTTGTGCTATCAGTAGCATTTTATATAGTGTTGAATGACTGGATTGTAGTAAATAATGAACTGGAAAGAATGTGCGAGGAAGCAGTCCCAGCTGGATTCAAACCAATCACCTCCAGAACACAAGTTAGAAATATCACTGCGGAGACATCTTGCTTGGCTTATAGCACACTGTCACTTCGGGCACTCTTAAACTTCAAAATTATTCCAAATGCAAATCTAGTTTATTTTCTTCTCATTGAAATTATGTATATATATTCTGCATTTGTTAAATGCATGCATGAGTATGGTGGTCTCATTATGTTGAATGTGAGGGCAAGTGCCTCATCGCCAACGAAATACAAAGGAAATAAGATTGATTCATCAGGGTCTGGAAAGGAAATAGATTGGAGTAAATCTAGTGGATTGTACATTAAACTTTGACAGAACTTTTTCGGGGCACCTTTCCTGTGCTATTAATGAGTATGCTGTTCAACAGCAGAAATTGGCGTTAGTATTGTCAAGCTTAATTGCTTATCATTATAGAATGCTGAACTGGAACTTGCATGATCTTTTATTCGATATTCTTTCCATGTAAACTGCCAACACAGGAAAATTCCAGAGCTCATAATGGTTTGCTATTCCTAACCATCTTTCTGTTGAGAGTTATGTAAATAATCCAGTTGTAAAAAATTACAAATTATCAGTGATGTCAGAAGATTCAAAATCGTTGCATGTCCTCTAAAAAATAATTGAAAAGAGCCTTAAAAATTAGCAGTCCATTGCATGATATCAGAATGGTTGAAGTAGTGTGTCACTTGTACTTCTATTATTTTTCAGTCATGATTATACTTCAGTGAAATTTGAGAACTTTTTGCAATATTAATGTAACACAATTGAAAACAAGCATTTTATTTTGTTTGTTTTAGTGTTGGAGTGTACAGAATGGTGAAAAATTTTAAGGATTTGTTTCGCAAGATTCATGAAGTCATCAAAACTCTCTTTGGTTCTGGAACTGTACATGAGAAACCTTAATATGTGTTGGGAGTATTTGGTATTCTTGGAGTTCTCTACTAAATTTGGAAAGCAGAGTGGCAATTTATTTGTATCATTGGAATTGCACTGAAGGGGAGAGCCTTGACATTGGCATGGACTTGTCTGAACCAGTATCACAGTTGTAGCATGGTGAAGATAAAGTGGACAAGATACAACAGAATGAAGAATGTTGTATAAATGTGAAAAACGTTCTGGAAGATATGTCTGCATGTTTCATTACACCAGACAGCAAGAAAATAATAAGGACCATATTGGTAGAAGATGTGAATGGATTAGTACTTGAATTTTTTCCATCTATTAAGTGCTTTGCTCATAATCAAGTTGAAGTTCCCAGCCTGTCACTTTAAGTGTTCTCAGTATGAAAGAAATGAATGCTGAACAAGAGGGACATTTCAGGAATGGAATACCATCAAATATTAAAAGAAAATAGTATGTCCTTGGTATTAGGCACTGCCATGCCAGTCAGTAAAACTTATTACACTGACCTGTCATCAACTGCATCAGATGAATCTCCATTTCATTGCAGTGACTGTTTTATAATTAAAATCCAGTGGAAGAATCACAGCAACATAGTTGTCATTTTGTGAATAAATTAAACAAATTGAAGTAATGATCAACACTCAGTTACTGATGATAGTGCCTTTAAATTTCTCTTTAATTAATACATTATTTTTTAATTTTCCTGTCTAATCATTAAGTAAACAATAATTTTGCTCACTGTTATACTATGTTGTTGTAAGATGTAAATAAATGTTATATAATAAAAGTACATTTTATTAATTACAGAAATTCCTTATCTCATAATCTGGACAGTTCAGTTTGGAAATCTATATCCATTTTTAAAATAAGGGCCCATCGAATGTTACCATCAAATTAAATGGTCTATCATTCATTCTGTGAAAAGACTGAATTGTTTCCAGATTGGTAGTGAATTTTTACAGTACAATATAGTCGCCAACTGGACGTGCATTAACCCACCAGTAAGGCTGTACATATTCCAGAATTCTTACTTTCTGCCAATGTTAATTAAATTAAGCTAGTCCAGAGCAGCTGACTCACTTCCATCTAATGCCAAGGTCAAGAATGGTGCAACTGTACCTCCACTGTACTGTATGTCTTCATGGTATACTGCTTAATTAATTAAGCACAGGCACAACTTAACCTTACCAGAGCAGTTGACACACCTTCATTGAACAGTATACTTGTGACTGAATAGCTGTCATCTTGGTGGGTCTTGTGTATCTGTCTAATTTGGTTTGAGGTCAGGTCAGTATTACAGATTTGTTACATTATTGTCAGATCATTCATAATGTTCATAATGTATGTTATTACATAATACTTACAGTTTGGGCAGTAATGGGTTACACAGCCTGCTCCACTTCGTCATAGCGTCCACCTGTTTACTGTATAATCTGTTTGGTGATGTTATTGGCAGAGTTCTTCAATTATGTATAGAAACTGAGTAGATATACTAACAGTAATATACTATGAGGGTTGGAACTTTAATGGTGGCAACACTGCTATAGAGACACCATGCAACGGAACCAAATAATGTCGCTTGTACCACACGTTAGTTACATAGCTACCTTACCTCAGAGCAAATGGACTCTCCCTTCCACATCATGCCCATGCTCAGTGACTAGAAGAACGGAGCCTCATGTTAGCTGGCGGTCTAATGTAGTGTTGTCACGATGTTTTCGAACCAGGAACAACGGAGTTGGATAAAGATTCAATGTGTCAGAGGCCGTACAGCATGACAGTGTCATCGAGGTCTTCAAGAGGCTTGCGGCTAATCTGCATTGCCTTACAGAACAGTGGCAAGGTGGGTAAAAGCCTTCAATGAGGGACACCAAAATGTAGCAGACATGCGTCAGCCAGGTTGTCCTAGTGTCAGTGAAGAAGAAGTGTATGCTCCTTCTGTGTTACTGGAGAGCGATCGACGCCATACGATTCATCTGGCCCAAGAAACAGGATTAGAGCATACGACTGTGCTTCACATTCTGAAGGAACGCCTGGCATGAGAAAAATTGCATCATGATGGGTTCCGCGTGATTTGATGGAAATGCAGAAATGGCTGCAATAAGAGGCTGCTCACAACCACTTGGAGCGCTATGAGGGCGAAGGAGAGGCTTACTTTCTTACGCCATATCATTACGCTGGATGAGACATGGTCCAAATCGTACAAGCCACAAATGAAACGCCAATCAAACAAATGGCGTCATTACGGGTCACCATGAAAATCAAAAGTTCGTCAGAACCCCAGCAATGTGAAAGTTATGGTGATTCTCGTGTACAACTGTGATGGTGTTATCCTAACGCATACCGTTCCCTGACAGCAGACCGCCAGTGCGCAGTATTACTGTTCATTTCATTTTTGGAACACAACCTGTGACCAACTTTGAGAAAGAAGCGGTGACACTTTCTGCAGAACCCACCCATCATTTTGCAGGACAGTGCTCGGCCGCATGCAGAGCAAGCTGTGGCTGATTTGTTCAATCAATGGGGCTGGGAAGTGCTGTAACATTTACCATTTATTTTATTGCTAGTGGGGTGGGACTAAGTCCTTGTACTGCGGCTACTTCTGGCCTAGTGTATCAGCCCCCGATGATAGGTGAGGGTGATTGTGGAGCAATTGGTGGAATGAAGATTGGCAGGGGAAACCAAAGTACTTGGAGAAAACCTGACCCAGCACCACTTTGTCCACCACAGATCTCACTTGACCAGACCCGGGATCGAACCCAGGCTGCTGCGGTGGTAAGCCAGCGACTAGCCGCTTGAGCTATGGTGTGGCCTACCATCCACCATACTCCCCAAACTTAAGCCCTTGTGACTTCGACTTGATTCTTAAGATGAAGGAACCACTTCGTGGCATTCGCTTCAGAACTACTTCCAGAGATTCTTCAGGCAGTAGATCGCTTCGTTTGAACTATCAACACAACAGGTGCTGCTAAAGGTATCCTACGACTTCCACATTGCTGGCAGTGGGTTGTACACAATGCTGGTGACTACATTGAAGGATGGTAAAACTTCAAAACATGCATCTATTTTGTATCATTTGTAAATAAATAGTTGCCACTATTAAAGTTCCAACCCTCGTAATTTATTTTGAAAAGATGTAACACACATTTTGCAGGAATTTCTTTTCTGTCTCTTAATGTGAGTGTTTATATATTTTTAACAGTGCTGTCAGTAGTTTAAGACTATGTGGTGTCAAAGAGTGGGGTGATTAATAAATGATGAATGGGAAAGGATCTGAAAGGAAATGTTATAGCCTGTTTCAGTCTATTATCTTTGCATATTCTTAGAGGGCTAAGGAAAACTACAGAGAACCTCAGGAGACTTGGTGCCCTGGCTGAGATATGAACCATGCACCTCCCAAGTTCGTGTTACCATTTGAGCCACCTTTCTTGGTAACATGTATGAAATGCTGGCCATTTTTGAGGAGAAGCCAAATCTGCAGCTACTCAAGAATTTCCCAGCATTTTATGGAACCTGAAGGTTCATTACTGTGTTCACAAGAGCGCTCCACTGGTCCCTATCCTGAGCCAGAGCAAACCAATCCATACCATCCCATCCTATATCTCTAAGATCCATTTTAATATTGTCCACCCACCTACGCCTTAGTCTTCCCAGTGGTCTCTTTCCTTCTGTCTTTCCCACCACTATCCTATATGCATTCCTTTTCTCCCCCATTCATGCTACATGCCCTGCCCACCTCATCTTCCTTGACTTGATCATTCTAATTATACTTGGCAAAGTGTACTAGTTATGAAGCTCCTCATTATGCAGTTTTCTCCAACCTCCCATCACTTCATCCCTCTTCGGTCCAAATATTCTCCTCAATGCCCTGTTCTCAAACACCCTCAGTCTGTGTTCCTCCCTCAATGTCAGAGACCAAGTTTCACACCCATACAGAACCACTGGCAAAATTATAGTTTTGTATGTTCTAATTTCTATGTTTATGGACAGCAGATGAGAAGACAGAACGTTCAGGACTGAATGGTAGCAAGCATTACCCGAGTTCAATTTCCTCCTGAATCAGGTTTTGATTTGTTATCATCATTCCCAAATATCTGAACTGTGCCACATTTTCAAATCATCTGTTTTCTATTGTTATGTTATGATTTTGCCCTGCATTTTGGTGATGACACAGTAACATGTACATAGTTTTCTCTTTGTTTACTTCTAGACCAACCTCCTTACTTGCATCAATTAAAGTTTGTGTGTTTTTTTATGGTATCTGTATTATCACCCAGTAGATTTACATCATCGGCATAGACCCGCAGCTGATGTGTCCTGTTTAATTTCAGTCCCCCCTGGTTTTCTCGGTCCTTCCTAATGGCATATTCTAAAGCAAAGTTGAAAAGGAGTGGCAATAAAGCATCTCCTTTTCTTGGATCATTCTGGATAGGAAATGTATCAGACAAATGTTTACCTATACAGACTTTACTTAAGTTTTGTGTAATTAATTAATTAATTAATAGTTAAGTGGTTCAAATGAAAGTTATGAGGACCTCTGTTTATTAGATATATTCTAATGCAATTATTTTTTCAGACTTTTTGGAAAGCTGTAATTTTCACACTTTTCACCTCTGAAGCCAATTACTAGATTTCAATTAAAAGTTTTTACAGAATATTTCTTTTATTAATTTTTCATATGACATTCTTTATTTTTCAGGCAAAGGATCCACTGAAGGCTAAAGTTGCCAAAGTTGTGCCAACTGCAAATAATGGATCATCAGAATTAGTTTCAGTTCACCATTACAAGGTAAATATCATTCAGAAGGTATGATTTTAATTGGAAAGTATATATGAATAAAGAATATGTTCTATCAAGTGCAACAGTTTTTAATATGAATGAAACCTCTCCATGTTTCGGCCAGTATCTGCCATTATCAGAAGGCAACCCTTGCTTTAAAGGAAATATTTTACAACTATGAAATGCATATGTTGTCTGAAAAGGGTTTAAAACATTGGTATGTTGAAAACAAGGTATGTTAAAAAGCAAACAGTATCCGTTTTTAATTAATTTAAAATCTTGCAGTTGGTTACATGGATCCCAGTGACATTTGTATTTTTTTTTTGCCGTTGTTATGTAAATGTTGTGTGCTGGACTGTCTGTATGGTGTCTTACATGTGTGTTCTGTTGGGGTCGTGATGCTGTATGTGACATGGTGTAGTGTTGTTCATCAGTGGTTCTGTAGTACAAGTGTGAGGTAGGCAATGTGACTTAAGGAACTGACTTGCTAAAGAAGTGGGCTGAATTGGCAATAAAGGTGGTCATATATATACATACATACATATATATATATATATATATATATATATAGAGAGAGAGAGAGAGAGAGATATGGGAGGAGGAGAGATGAAGTTTGATGTATGAGGGCTATTCAGAAAGTAACCTCCGTTTATTTTAGGCAACTAACGTAGGAGCAGGAGAGAGCTCGAACATGCGAGGTAACGTCATATGGCTCATTGTCTTGTGAAACCATCACATGTGAGTGAATGTGTAAGGGGTGAACGACAATAATCTGACCTTTGCGCTGTGACCTTCAGTGATCTATTGTGCTTCCTCTTTTGATTATCCATCTGTCAGTCTTACACTTTGAATGAAATGTAGGACTTCATTTTTGGGGGCATCATAGTAGTCACTTGGTTCCATAAAACTGGCCAGGTGACAAAATCTTAAATAAGCTGTGGCCTCACAATCACGTAGGATGCGTCTGGCTGACTCACCTTTTCCTAGTCACCTTTTGCAAGTAGGGTCATCTGTCAATTCCAGTTCAAAAAGGTGACCTTTAAGGTGACAGTGTCCTGTAAATAGTCCTAACACCCATCTTAGTTGGTCTCTGTTTAACTTTAACAGATCTTTTGTTCTTCTAGCAGAAAAACATCACACAACTGGTCACCCAGTATTGATTGTTGTTTCTACAGCTTGAGTTGTGATGTGTCCTGCAACTGATAATCCTGCCAGCTACAAAATTTGTGCTATTATCTGCTTTCTTCACACTATAAACATGTGCCATGGAAGTCCATTGTGAAGTATGCATGGTTTGTGGCCAGAATATAATGGGTGAAGGAACTGTAAGACAGTGGTGTAGAATTTTCAAAAATGGGCAAACAAATGATCACGATGAAGAGCGAAATGGGTGGCCATCTGTAGTGAATGAAGATCTTGTTCAGATTGTTTACCAGAAAAAGAAGAAATTATGAAAGATGGCTTTTCACAGTTTCAGAATTTTTGTGTGAATTTCCACAGCTGCCATGCACTGTTCTCTATAAAATTATCACAGGCTAGGTTATCACAAGTTTTACTGGGAGTTATTTGACCACCCTCCTTACAGCCCTGATCTGACTTTGAGCAACTACCACCTGTTTACCCACCTGAATAACTGGCTGAGATCACACACAGTACTTCAAGAATAATGAACAGTTGATGGAAGGTTTCAAAACATGGTTGAGCTCATAGGCAGCAGACTTCTTTCACACAGGCATACAAAACTTATTCCTCAATATGAAAAGTGCTTCAGTTCCAGTGGTGCTACATTGAGAAGCAGCTGAAGTATGTACATATTTTTTGTATATAATAATTTTTTTCTCATTGCTTTATTTAACGACTCACTGGAGGTTACTTTCCGAATAGCCCTCATGTTGAGATAATGTGAGAACTTCACATTCTGTTTTGGAATGTTGAGGAGTTGAAGGGTAAATTTGCCAGTGATTTTACTGATATTCGGTGATAAATTGTATTAGAAATATTTATGAGGATGTGAAATTTTGTATGGAGATGACAGAAAATATAAAATTGAGTTTCATGAATCATTTACAAGGTGTGAGGTTAAGTATGTGGATGAAGTTCTTACTTATTTAATACTTTTATAGATGTTATAGTGAAGTACATGAGCGGAGACCGTGTATGTGCTTCAGTACAGGGCGGTATCCTGATACAGGGGCTACTTGTTTGTCAGAACTTTCAGTACAGTCGTTGGATTGAAGAGTAAATTGAAGGAGGTAGATAAATATTGTAAAAATTGAGATGTGAAGTGTAAGTGTAAATAAGATTGATGTATTGGGTTTAAAAGTGGAGGAAGATTGAAGAAAAATGAGAGGTGGTATTTTGAGGGCCAAGAAACAGATGTAATGAATGAAATCAGGAATAGTTATTCAGAGTATAGGCACATGCAGAAAATAGAAGAATAAAGCCCTGTTTAGGGGTGTTCAGTTTTTGACAGCTTTAGATAGATGCCTATTTAGGGTTTCCTGTTGGAATCAAAAGACATCAGAAAACGTGTGTGAATGTTACTTGAATTGTATGTATGGAGTTAAAATTTGGGGAATTCTGGGATGCTGGGAAGAAACAGAGGTTACTGATGGGAGGTTTTGTAAGTAGATTCTAGGTGTTTGTAGATGTATGTCTATTGGCACAGCATAAATATAAGTAGGAATAGCAGAAAAACCAAGATTTTGATCAGCATTTTTAAGTACTAGTGTCATATGCTGTCCATGGCTAACTTAAATATAGTAAGTTATAATCAGAAGACTTATAACTGGGGGAAGAGAGTAAGTTATTAATTTTCTGGGTTAGATTACCTTGGTGTGGTCATTGGATTTAGAAAATTAAGAAACTATTGTAAAACTTTGAAAAACTAATGTAATGAATTATCTTGAGAAAGACTGTTTGCTAGATTGTCTGAAGTGCCTTCACTTACATTTTGTTCTTCAGCAAAGGAGGACAGGGAAGAGAGAAGACATATATTGTATTGGTTGCTGCAGTATGAAACAAATAAAAAATTGGCATAGTGGAGATTAATAATTTGAATTTGAAAAGCAGTGGGGGAGGAGCAGGAAAGACCAATGTCTGGTATGTGGTGGGGTGGAAAATGCCATACATGTTACTTTAAGATGTTCTTACTTCCATATAATGCTTACATCAAGAATGCTGGCGCTATACCTCTATGCCCCAATGTGACTTCATGGCATACATAATTAAGTACAGGGATAAATTTATCTTACATTTTTACTGAAACCTCTATGTGGAAGATGGAGGCTGTTTGCAAGAAATGGAGGAGCTTTCGTGAAGAAATAGTTCTGAAGAAGATTGTAAATTCTAGGTATCATCCTAAGAGTGAGTGATTATCTGCTCAAAGTTAAGTGTTAAGTGGGAAGGGTGTGCTAAGGGAATTGACTGTGTGTGTTTGTAGTAGTTATGTAGAAAATGTAGAACAATATAAGCAGTCAAGTTTGTATGACACAGCACCTTCTTAATAATGGATCCCATGCTATAATAGCTGGGGATTGTGCAAAGGGAATTCTGTGCAAAATAAAGATCCATTCAATCATAATCATGCATAGGGAGGAATGGTCACAAGTAGTACTGCATAGCAATATTTCTAAATCGGCTGGTCACCATCCAAGAACATTTTTTCTGAAAATATATAACAGTATAAGGAAGTTTGTGCCATGCATTACACAATTTTCTATGAAGCTCAGTAGAGGTTACATTAAAGAGCAGAGTTACATTAAAGTCTGAGGCATATTATACAGCTTCTTCTCAGACACAGTTGTTTATGATGTACCATGCACTTTCAAAAATTATTGTAGTGTAAGTTCACTTACTTGTTTCAGGATGAAGTGAACCAGAGTGTGAGCATATGGTTCATATTCCAGAAGACTAAGTATGTCTGGGATGAAAATAAGAAACAGTTTTGTGGTCTGCAGTTCCCTGTGGATCTCCCTTTTGGGGAGTATATGGAGTGGAAGGGATATCAAGAGGACCATGAGGTCACAAATGCAGACATAAAATATGGCAGGAACCAGTATGTTCTTAATTCTGTACTTCTGCTCTTGTTATCTAAGGGGAAAATGTATAGCCTGACACAAACTCATTGTTAACAGAGTTCTTGCATTATCTGCTGGAGTCTTGAGTTACAGCCCCTTCTCACATTCAGCAGTGTTAAATGTATGTCCCATACAATGTGACCTACAGCAATTTATAGAGTGGTCTAACTGACAATATTATTGAAGTGCTCACAGCCATTTATTAAAATCTAACAAGGTGGATGAGGCAGTGAAGAGGCAGATCCCTGCACTTGCAGGGAAATGAACCGTAGTCATCTAGCACATAGCTAGTCAGCTATTCTGGCTAATTCATGAAGCTGAGTTTAAGTAATTTTGTTGTAGTACTGTAACAGAGAACTCTTACATCAGAGTCTAAACTAAATAATGTAGCCATTTTGAAGCTGTAAAGATGATCAAGCTGTTGTTGAATAAATATATAAATAGACTGGTAGCCCATAATTGTAATATATGTACTTATAGGCTCGACATGGTAGTGCCAGAGTTCATGGAGCTGTTCAAAGAACGAGCCACAGCTCCATTTTTTGTATTTCAAGTGCTGTGTGTTGCCCTCTGGTGCCTGGACAAGTACTGGTACTACTCTCTCTTTACACTTGTAATGCTGATCTTGTTTGAGTGTACTTTGGTGCAGCAGCAACTGCGGAACATGGCAGAGATTCGCAAGATGGGCAACAAACCGTACATGATACAGGTATGCAAATTACTGTTCACAGATATCATGTATATTCAGTTTAGTGTGAGTGGATTGCAAGAACTCTCTTATGTCCAGTTTGCAAGTCAAGTCTGGATGCTGTGTATAAGGTAGTCTTCTTGTCATTAGACAGGATTGCTGAACCACACTTATCTGTACTTGTAATAAGTGGAAAGCTCACTGCCTCCGTGATATGTAGGAATAAAGTGAAACTTTACATCCCTTAACCTTCAAACTAATGGCTTAATTATATGCAAGATGAATGACTAGTAGAAATATTTGATGTGTATAATGTTGCCAGGTCTATCGGAATCGACGATGGCGCCCTGTATTTACAGATCAACTTGTTCCAGGAGATATTGTGTCTATTGCACGATCACAGCATGACAACTTTGTGCCTTGTGACCTCCTGCTTCTGCGTGGACCTTGCATTGTTGATGAGAGCATGTTAACTGGTAAGCAGATGTCAAAATATGGGAAATGAGATCATATTTAGAAAAGTAATAATGCTGTCATGTGTTAGGACTAGACATGGGATTTGGATAGACTATTGCATTTATTGGTCTCTTGTAAACCATGACTACACTGCACAAATCTCTGTAGCACACACTAGTCTTCTCAGTTCTAATCATCAGTACACGTTCTTTGGTTACGCTCCCCAACAGTGGAGACTCCTCTGCTTCCATGCTCACACCCTTACTGGCTGGAACCTCCCAGCTGCAACCAAGATCTTACTCCTGACTGCAACTAACTTACATCTCGACTGACTAAAAACTCCCATTTGGCCTTCTTTTATAATCTTGACACGGACCATATAGAAAACATCACTTCCAACAATTCCCACATTGTTGCATTTTTGTTCATTACTGCTGAAACGTGTTTACTGTGTCATTGCCTAGGACTGGATGCCTGTCCAGGTCTTCTATTCAGGCTTTCATCCATCATGTCACAATACTGTACCTTAGTCACCCATTCTTTTATTTTTATTCCCTTGGCACTACAGCCCCAGTGGCCTAGGCCTACCTCCATGAACTACTCCGTTCACTTCGGATTTTCTAGATCTTACACATTTGGTAGGACTCCTTGGGCGGGTGATCACCTCATCGCAAGGCCTCTACCTGTACATAACCACAGAAAAATGCACACACACAAACTAAACATCCATGCCCTGAGTGGGATTTGAACCCACGATCCCGGTTTTCAACCGAGTGAAGACAGTACATGCCTTAGACCGCTCGGCTACCGTGACCGGCCTTAGTCACTCATGGCATTGTTTAACCCGTTGCCGTGGTTCGTCGTGTATGTTTCGTCAGGGATTTAAATCGTCTGGGGGGGTTCGACGTGTATGTTTCGTTCAGCTGCACACCTATGTTATAACGCCCATAATAATTGATGGTTTTGCTGTAGATTGTTAGATTTTTCGCTGGCCTGTTGTCAGTAGAACAGAGTATAAATAAGACACGACTTTATCTG